GTGTCCTCATTATGGCTGACCTCTCTCTGCTGTGGTGAGGGAGGAATGGGAGTGAGGGCTACCCCCTTACTAGGTGTGCTGCTAATAACACTACATTGATTCAAATGTATTGATAACTGAAATACTGATTTTAATCGTCCACTCAACATTTGCATTTTGCGATGATTATTTTTTACGAGTTATTATTTTTACGAGTGAATGAATATTGTGTTTAGGACTTTTAACACAAAGGAGCTTGATTTGGATCCTTAGGTAAAATAACATACTGTTAAAATTGCTACATTCTATGAATAGTTGTGTTATTCTTAACAGGTCAGGAGATGATGTAATAGCTTTGTAAAGAGGTCAGTCAAAGGTCAATCCCACACTCTACTCAATACAATCTACTTTAAGTGACCTTTTAATGCTCACTATCCAAGCGTTAGATGGGAAGTCTCCTTTTAGTTTTTATTTTATTCCATTCTGTATATTATCTTTTGTAGTTTATGAATATCCTCTGTCACTCAGCAATTACACCCGTTGATTTAGGGCTGAAAGTTTGTGTATTGTGGGCCATTCCATAAAAAGTGCAAGGCTGATTATGTGTGTGTTTGTGCATGTGTGTTTCCTTGAGATTAATATTTTTTGAAGTGTGCTGAATTGCTTTATAAAAACATCCAGCTAAATGCTGCTCTGCAGCATTGCTTGGAGTGCAGCTTTTACCGACTTGGGAAAATCCGGTTCCCTCTTTCTATATTTCCATCTCTACATATTGGTTAATTACATGATCAGTCGGTCTTGATTACACTTCAATTAGAGCCACTTAGACTGTAATGTCTCGTAAATGAGCAGAGAGGAAGTGCACACTCAATGTTCTCAAGTAGTCGTTTCTTTGCGAGCACGTGTCCCATTTCCCCACTTGTCATTGACAGCTCATTCTCCCCAACACTCGACTACAGAACACTTGGGCCTTCTGTGAGATAAAGAAACTACATTACTTCCAATGGATGTGTTGCGGTTGTGTTGTGGTTGCGTTTTGGCTTTGTACAAAAGCAACCTGTACAGCAAGAAATGAAACTACTTGTGATGGACAGCTGGTAAATAAGGATAGCGACCCGATGAGGACCAAGCACTATTGGAATATACACTTTAGACACCAGATGCTTTACTTTTCTTCACAAGTTTTCAGCAACATTTTGCAAGAACAGAATATGGGATGGGAGTTAAAGATATTGTTGCATGCTGATTGGAACGTTTGACAAAAATGTGTCTTTGACCGTTGACAAAGAATTTGGCCACATTGTCACATCACTAAAATGACTTGCATTAGTGACACCCATTCTCGTTATTGCTTTTAGCTCTGTAACTGACCTAGAAGCCCAGAATTTCAAGGAGAAAAGGAAAAAGATGACAGGCAGGTCTTAGCTTTCTTCTCCATTGTCGAATGCCCCCCTCCATCCTGTTGACATACCTAATGATAAGTCTGCTTCTTTGCTTTGGGAGTGATTTCTCTGCATTCTTTCATCGCCCGTCTATGTCTTGCAACGAAGAAGCTCAATCTTTTACATTCCACCTTGATTAAAGAAGGGACAAGTCGTTGCGTTCGCACCCAGTCAACACCATCATGTCCTCCTGCAAGAGTAAGTCATGTATCTGTCATTGTTCAGGGGGAAGGCGATGCCATGCTGCTGACTGAGCACACTCTATCCACCAACTTCCCGTCCAATGGAGCAACAGCGCACGCTCAGTTCTCTTTGGGCCGGAAAACCAGTCTTTGTCACCATGGCAACAAACAGGAAGTGGTGGTGTGAAAATTGTCTGCAAATTTGCTAGCTGCAGGAAGATGGGCAGATACCCTGGTCACATCTGATTTTAACAACATGTACAAGAGCCACACACGCTGCAGGATAGAACTTATGACCAAAGCCGATCAGATGATCGCTGTGGATGACATTACTTTATGTGGATTAGGTACCATGACGTCAGCCGGATTAATCATTCATGTGGGCACCTTCAAAAAGAGTAAACCCCTTGAAATCGTATCTGTACCTACCTCTGTACGACTGAAGTTGTCGTAATGGTGCCCGTCCATCACGTGCTTCTGTTAAATGCCTTACGCCAGTCAGAATGACATTCAGAATGACTGGCGTAAGGCATTGACTCATTTGACATTTTTGGCAATGACTCAGTTGACATTTTTAGATTGTGGAATTAATTTATAGTACATCATTTGGGCATGTTTGCAGTTTGGGTTATTCCACACTGATTTCATGTATTGTTTATATTTTCAGATCATATTTTTGTGTGTAGATGCATGTAGACACGAGCGTCTCCACCTTCGTGCATGTGTGCTTTGTAAGATCAGGCGCCGTCTCTGCCTTTGTGTGAAACACAGCTTTGTTGTTCAGGCGACATCTCCCCACTGAGTACCCAGGATGCAACAGTGGTTGTAGCATCACTGTGACGTTGGTGCCTGTCACACTGGGGCACTGAAATATTTCTGGATACAGAACTGCTTGCTCTCTCTAATGCCCTCATTTCCTTATCTTTTAAGTCAGGCTTTCTCCTCCTCTCAGATATTCTTCATTTCGGGTGTGTTTTTTTTCCTACCTTAAAATTCTCTTCCGTAAACTATGCTCACAGATTTGCTTTAAGCTTACAATAATCCTCTAGGATATTTAAAGTGCAGGTTTAGGGATATCTAGTATGAGTTGTAACCCTTACCTATAGTAAGACCACCTCCAAGTGCTGTACGCATGGAAATAAGCCTCGTTGGTGACGCGCTCGTGTGCTCAAATTGCGCATGTTTGCTGACTTGGTTAACAGCAAAGTTGGACTAGTGCACAAAGGGCGACCTTTGCACTTCACGGGACAAGCTTTTGCAGACTTCAACATTTTTGTATTTTATAGACTAAAACAGGTTAGTCACACTTATCATATAGCTAATTTTCCAATTATTTCTGTTAAATCATGCTACCATCTGCATTCCTGTCAACGTCCTGAATCTAATTTAGTTGGTAACAATAGATTCAAACTCTGCATCAGCATATTGGTACAATATTACTCATTGTTTCTTTCCACCTGCAACGTTCACAGCTGTGTTACTGCTAACTTCATATTCTTCATCACACAAATGATTGATCCCTCTCTCTCTCTCTCTCTCTCTCTCTCTCTCTCTCTCTCTCTACTGGATTAGTTGACGTTAGGCCTTATGCTTCTCTGGCAGAAGCCCTGACGGAGACAAGCAGCTGACGACCTTGCAGTTAAACTAATTGAAGCGGCGGGGACTTGCTTGGAAAGTGGCTGCATGTTTCCGCGACAACGGCCGAGTTGGTGCATTCACCGTGAATGCTAATTGTCGAGGACGGTTGTGGACTTGGTTGCGTGTTTTGCGGATTCGCTGTGAATGATTGATTCTAAACTGTTATCGTGGCAGCCGGCCGGCTTGATGGTCACATCAACAGATCTCCTGCATGCCGGCTCCAAATCTTGTTGGTCAACTGATTTCTGGCAATCGGTCAGAAATTCAAAAAATGAAAATCTAAATTTGCACCCCTAACCTGTTCCGGGACCTGGTCCCATAAGTCAATGTCCGTAATGGAGCTGAATCTACATTTGGCTGTTTGACTGTCCTGTAAAGGAACAAACACACATGCACACGTTTCAGGATCAATGTTACTGCCAAGTGTTTTAAGTTTATTCAGTACACCTACACATTGTGTGTACACCTATAAGTGTGCTCGGCAGAATGAAAGGTTATTAATAGATGCGAGAAACTAGCCAGCACTGGTGTCTGCAGCCAACAACGAATGCACACACACACGCGGTATCATCCCATTTGTATCAAGCAGTGCCTGAATCATAACAAACGTCAGGTCTGCGTAGTACAGCAACGCGACGCATGACCAGTTCCAAATGGTAACCCCTACAATGTGCCATATGTGTTTGAAGCCCCGTCGCCCATACGGTGACCAAGGTTTACTGAAGGGCATGTAGCTTGATGGAAATCATGACCATAAATGTTCAATCAATTCAAAATCCCCTTGTATAATCAAGGGTTAGTCAGAAAAACACAGATTGAAAACAGACGTGTTTTTTTGTGGGGGTTTTATCCGCCAGGTCAGTCTTTTTTTTTTTTTTTCTACTGCATGATAGTTTTTTCTGTTGGCACAGCTCGAAACTTGGTCGCCGGACGCACACAGAATGTGTCGCTGAGTGAAGAAGACGTAGAGCTCACATTAAAAACATTTGTGCACGTCAGATGTGAGGTAATGCAGATAAAGAGAAACGCTACCACACGCATCGTGAACACCCTCAAACTAGAAGTTTACAAATCCCTGTACATTGCAGACTGCAGGATATCCAAATTCTCTGTCTTGCAGCAATACGTAACCATCCCGTAACGCAAACCAACTCCTCTGCGCTGTAAGTGCTCGTCTTGCCACGTGCATGTGGGCCTTGAAACCGTCAGCAGGTCCCCTCTTTCTTCCCCTTCAGCTGTCCATCAACTCCGTGAGCTGCATCATGCTGAAAATCGAATCTTTAAACTGCTTAGCGGTCCCATCACTGAGTGTTCTGTGCCAACAAACGGTATTGATTAACAACCCAGATCACATCTCTGAGCCTCAATCATGAATTAGCCTGAATAAATAGCTTTCAGGCTGCTTTGATAGGGGGAGGTGGGGACTTTTCGCTGTAAGGGTTTAATTTTACTTGATATGTGAAGCACACAGCTAGCACATAAAAGAAAGCCACACAGTGATGAAGCCAGAGCTTCTCTACATCAGTGTTTATTCCATTGATCACCACATAATGTCCATCTGTGAATCTTTGTCTACATTTTGCCTATTTACCCTCAATGAGACACACTTTATTCCACTACCCAAATAATTATATGAATAACTTCTAGCAGTACTTATGTGACTTTTGATTTCACTTACGTGTTTTAGGCTGTTTTTTACTGTTGGATACTTTGCTGATTACCCCTTCTTTTCTATGCTTTTTTTTCTCTTCATGCCCAGATAAATGAGTTAAGCCATGTTCAGATTCCCATCATGCTCATGCCAGATGACTTCAAGGCCTATTCTAAGATCAAAGTGGACAACCACCTATTCAACAAGTATGGTCTTTTAAGTACATTGTATAATTAATCATAAATCTGTGAAATATTTTTTTAGAAGCTAGAGCATCTGATTAAACCTGCCGCTGTTTGTTTTTTTAACTCTCAGGGAGAACATGCCCAGCCATTTCAAGTTCAAGGAGTACTGCCCCCTGGTGTTTCGAAACCTCAGGGAGAGGTTTGGCATCGATGATCAGGACTTCTTGGTAAGAGACGTGATTCTTTTAGCCTCTATGAAACTTGTGTGTCTAATAAATGTAACTCCCTGGTCCCTGGAGACCCCTGGAACTGTAACCGTCTCCAAACTAATTTGATTGCAGTCTTATTTACTACATTTTTGCACTTTTTCCCTTTCCTCTTGCCTTGATTTCCTTTTTTCCCCCACTGTTCCAGAACAAATCCCCACTCAGTCTGCAGTGAGTGGGCAGTATTTGGAGGTCATTGTGTCCCAGCTCACTGCAGCTGTCCTTCTCACATGTTTACATTAGTGTTCGGCTGACTAGTGGGTGGGCAGTTGGGGGCTGTTCAGACACTGGCCGGTCCAAAGAAATGTTGGGACATGATCAACGTTAAACTGCTTTTATACACAAGGCACTACTCGCGTTAAGGTTTATTGGTTCATATTTTTCTTTCCTTTCTTTCATGTTTTGATGACATGCAGAGTAACCATTAGTTTTAATGAGCAATGTTAGCACTATTAAATTGAGTTTTGGGAGGCTAACTGAAGGGTAAACCGATTAATTGTTTTCCCCCACATTATGATATATGTCTGGAAGAGAAAATTACAAACTAAAACATAATGATATTCCTTTGAAAGTTTTCTTTTTTTTAATCTATAAAGGCTTCAGGTGAAGGACCTCTTAAACAATTCAGCCTGACAAAAAAACCTTAATGTTCCACCTGGACTGTGCGTGGGTTGCATGTTTTTTTTATTTATTTTTTTTATTTTGATGCTTCGCCAAACCGTCGTTTTTAGGTCGTACACACAAGCAAAAGATCCTGCGATTTGAACAGAGGGGAGAGTCCACTGAGGGCAGAGGACGACGAATTCCTGGAGAATGAGGCGTGGAGCCAGGAGCGTTGGATCATGTTACTTGTGAGCTCCGCAGTCTGGGCAGCAGCTGTCGGTGTCTGTGTGTAGGTTTGGGCATGGAGAAGGCACAGAGGCCAGAAGCCCACATGTTTAGGCTGGGGGGGGAGCAGAAGGTGGTCTGACAGCAAGAGGGTGGAGGCGTCACCTGGACTGTTGTTGGACCCATTCAACCCCACCTGATCGTTTCAACCGTGGCACCAACCGAGACCACGTGTGCACCAAGTTGAATGAATTCTGCATTTAGTGAAACGGACGCAGCACATCTTTTGCCCCACTGTGCACATCCTCATTAGCGTGTATTCTTTTTGTTTGTTTTTCAGAACTCCCTCACACGCAGTGCCCCTTTGAACAGTGATGCTCAGGGACGCAGCGGGGCCCGCTTCCATACCTCGTATGACAAACGCTACGTCATCAAGATCATCAGCAGCGAGGACGTGGCAGAGATGCATAACATTCTAAAGAAATATCATCAGGTGATGGCCAGTGGTAGACGTTCCCCTTACGAGAGTGTGTGCGATGGGGAGAAAAGTGAAGCGGCTGCTCCGACTCCGCTGGGTGATCCGAGGTCTCCAGCCCGTTGAAATTGATGGACAGCCTACAGATTTTTAACCTCATTTAAAAATATTACATCAATGACGGAAAATAGGTTGTTGGCGAGACCTCTGGTGATAGCAGCTTATCACACAGGAATCAGGAAACATTTATTGCCAAAATATGTCAAACATACAAGGAATTTGTCTTGGCGGTTGGTGCGTGACAGTGTGACAATAGACAACAAGACAGCAGTGCACAAGTAATAAAATAAAGTAAAATGAAATGCTAATGCAATGGGTTAGTAATGTCTATATATACACGCATGCCCTGATTCTTCTATAGCAGTGTGACTTTGGTGGACTAAAAATACCTCCGAAGCATAATTTTAGTCGGCTACTAATACCCTCTTTAGGCTACAAACACATGTCTCTTAGGGGGCGGGGGGGGCAGTGAACATCAGACACAACGTCTTTCTCTCTAATTCTATGAAGGAGCTTCCAAATTGTAAAAACACCTGCTTCGTTTTTAAAAGTGTATGTCTTTGTGCATTACAAATGTACACATAGAGCGCCTATAGCGCACAAGTCAAAGGCTTTCAACATCAATGAGGCTTTTACAGCTTTTGCTCTAAAATATTGATAAATCTGATTTCCTAGGACTGTTGGTCCTCTTGTGTATCGATCACCTCACGGTTGCTCACAGACGGATGCTAAGTCACAAACTAAGAAACAAACTAAGAGACGTCTCATGTACTTTAACCATTCATTTTCCTCCCTCTTTTCTTTTCGTAGTTCATCGTGGAGTGCCATGGCAACACACTGCTGCCTCAGTTCCTGGGGATTTACCGGCTCACCGTGGATGGAGATGAGACCTACATGATCGTCACACGCAATGTCTTCTCCCACCGTCTCTCCGTCTACAAAAAATATGATCTCAAGGTAGGAGGGAAAAAATTATGACGTAGGTAATTTAATAAAAAGTGCTCAGAGAGTATGACAATTACAAAAACGATGTTAAGTCTGATTTATATATTTTTTTCCCACCTATTGTTTCAAGATCCTGTTGTCGCTGGGCAAGAAGTAAAAGAAGGTTTATCACATGGTTGTTTTCTAAGTTCATTTCTCTTGTTTCCAGGGTTCCACTGTTGCACGAGAGGCCAGCGAGAAGGAAAAGGTACAGTCACCTGCCAGACGGGTTTCACTGCCTCACAGACCCACATAACTTTTGACCTCTTAAGCTCTACCGTATAATTAAACATACAATAATGCTAATGATAAGAACTGTGAGTGATAAAATATAAAGGAAAATGTTAACAAATGCATCAAAACAGCTCAACAGTTAGAAACGTAGAGAAAAAGACATCGCATTGGCCCTCAGCTGTGCTACAGGTTTTCACATTTTCCTTTTCCACGGTGAAAACTTTTGTCCGAGGAACAGCCGGCGTCCTTCTCCACACGTTGGGAGGAGCGTTGCTTGAAGACCAGCTGGTTGAATTCGGTGGGGATTAAACAAATAGGTCCTTCAATAGTCATTTGCTGTCTCGAATCTGGCATAATCTTTGCGTAGGGACCCAGAACGGAAAGAGTTCAAATACTCTGGATTTTCTGTCTTCTTCAAATGGACACTAAACATGTTAAACAGAGTCCGTTAACTCGTTAGCTCCCACCTCATCAACCCTTTCCCTTTCTAGCCCCTGCACGCTTTATACATCTTTAATTTGCTTCATCCTCTCAAACCGCGCTTCTGCTTTGCCATCACTTCTCCTGCCTGCTTTTTGTGTGTGTGTGTGTGTGTCCGTCCAGGTACCTGCTGGGTTTAAAGATGTATTTAATCAGATGTCTGCTCACGTTGTGTTTTCTATATACAGTAGCTGTGTATTTGACGAGGCTGTGTGTGGGTTACCGGCATATATGAGTTTTTGTGTGACCGATTGTGATTCAAACGTTGTTGTTTGTGTTTTTAATTTTGGCTCTTGGCTGCTTGGAAACCTCCTGAAAATGGAGGACTTGATGGTCCATCGTGAATCCACCTTTAGTTATTTTTGTAAACAATTAGCATTAATGTTCAAGCTGATTTTTTTTTTTTTTTTCGCGGATAAATGTTTTGACCGTTTAACGCTAAATAACCTTTGACCACTCAACGTATATTGGAGGAGGGGGGGGGGGCGCTGGTTGTCTACAGTGTTTTTCATCGCATGTTTCCAATCGTTGCCCTCTAACGCTTGTCTGACCATTTGAGAGGCTTTTGTAAGAGACGGTCACAGTTTTGACCCACAGGGGTTTGAACTTTCCAACAGGTTTTACAAGGGCTTAATCGTGGAGCACCGAGGCGTGGAAGACTTCAGGGGATCCCTGAACTAAATATACCCTTCTGTAAATGGAAGAAGAAACAATATAGCATTGGGTTTAAAACGGATGAATGGAAAAACAAAACAGCTGGGGGATTACACGCGCACACACACACACACACACACACACACACACACACACGAGGCTCCTGTATGACCTCTTTTTGGCTGCTGCTCAGCTGTGTGTGAAACACCCACTAACAGTCAAGCAAAATGGAGGATGAGGGAACATTTGTGTGAAGCTAACATGAATGAAGACGTTTTCCAACACAATGACTACCACTGACTCTTGACTCTAGTCAACAAGTTATTACAAGATGTTGCTGTAGGTCTGTGGGGAAACTCCCCCTTTCATTCACGTGGAGCCCACACAGTAAGCATTGAGGCGTTCTTGACACCATAAGTGAAGCCTTTCACGGTTTTAATAAATGCACTACAGGATCTCACACGTACTTGTGAATCGGCACACACGTTTTCTCCCAACTGAGGCTCCGACATCAGCGATAAGGGACCTGACGAGAGACATGGTGGTTTCATCACATGAAACGCCTTGTACAAACACGCCTCCCTACCGACGCCTGCACTTACCTGGTATTAGTGCTCAGCGGCTTCGAGCAAAGGATCTCTTCCTTCCCTGCAGAGGTTATGCTGTAGTTGCGTCTGTTAGTTGAGTCCAGCATGTGAACACTACACTAATGCTAGTTCCCCACGTGGTGCAGTTGGCCAGTAAAGTGAAGGAGAGGGTGAGTCATGTCAAATGAAGAGGAAGAGAGTTTGTGTGTGTCTGTGTGTCTGTGTGTGTTGAATAAACCTCTTACACACTGAAACCACAAGCATGGCGGTTCTCTCCTGACTGCATGGCCGTCTCCCTTTTCATGCATGCGTCTGCATGGTCTATACAGTGATTTTCGCTTGTTTTCTTTTTTAAAGTTGCATTATTTCGATCACATTCTGATGTGTGTGAACACACACTCTTTGCACATTGTGGATGTTTTTATTATTATTTATACCCACATATGACATGTATTTTTCTTTCCATCGTTAGTAGCTGCCGTCTCAGGGTTTGTGACTGTCAAACCGCAGCAGCCTCACGTTTTATGTAGAGCATTTTACCAGATTGATGCGTTTGATTGTTTTTAGTCTCAATGAGCCCAAACTGGTTAGAGATGTTCTCATGTAGGCCCGCCTAATCACACTTCTTGCTTTAATCTGCTGCACTTTTTTGGAGGGTGTTGTCCCCTCTAAGGTCAATTCAGGTAACTGTCCCACAATTAAGCCAATGTGGATTGCATTCTTGCGATGTCCATATTTGTTATGTTACCTGGAAGATGTTGAGGCTTTGTTTGTATGTTATTAAATAGCCGCGGGTCACGGTTAGTGGAATACCACCGGTCTCGACTCGGCCTCGGCTCAGTGGTTTTTGTTTACCCTCGTCCCTCTCCTCACGCCAGCACCGGCTTCTGTCTCCTGTGGGGGAACATTAATTAATGTGTCTGTGTGACTGAGTGCGAAATGTCTTGATGTTTTTACTGGAAAGCCTGTTGTGTAGTAATTGTAATGAGCTTTTAGAAATGGCTCCTGAGTAATAGCAAAACAAAGGTTAATAGAAGCAAATTATTTGTTTCTTACTCTCGGGAGTTGCAGTTTCTAGCTTTCTCTGTGCGGTATACAATGAAAACAAACAAACCACCTTTTGACTAATTAAACTAGGAGCGTGAAAATCGTGTAGCTGCAGACAGCGTGTGCACGGGTCTCTCGCGTCCACGCCATTCCCCACCCTCGACCAATTTGAAAAAGCAACTGTGTTCTTTTACATTTTAAACACTTTGACTTTACTTCCAACTTCCTTCCTCTCTCCTTCCTTCTCTCCTCTCCTCCACCCCTACCGTCCCTCCTTCGCTCCCCCCTTTTCTAGCAGCCGCCCCAACCAGAGGATGTGCCCCTGCGGCCCAAATCTGGTAACGTTCAGCAAAGGCTGCAAACGCTGCGGATTGCCACGCGCTTTTACTGCGCCATGAAACACGTAAGAGATGTAAGAGAACCAGGGCTCATATACCAGGCATGATCTATTGAACCAAGCTTTTTATTATTATTTATTTTTTATTTTTACGCCCAAGCATTTTCGTTTCCTCGTCTTGTCCAACCCGATGCACTGTTCTTCAAAATCACCCTTTGATCAACTTGTCAGCCAGTTACGTTTTAGTTGCCAGGATCTTTGTTTTTGTTCCCACCATTCACTCAACGGCAAAAACGTGTGTTTTTCTTTTATGTGAAACATGAGAGAAGTGGATGAGTAAGTTGGCGGCATGAATGGGAAGGACACACGCCGTTGTCCCAGCAACCACAGATGGAAAGGGAACACTTAGTTCCTCAAGGGTTCTCTACGATTTCCTGCAGTACAATTGATAAGCAGACCACATCAACCGACGTGTACACGCTGACCACAGCGGGAAAAAAACGAGTATTTTCTGCTTGAATCAAGAGTTACAATCAAGATGGCAGAGGATTGTTTGTCCTCGCTTCATGACTCGCGTCTCATACTTGTACAGCAGATGCGCTAGTGGGACGAGAAATAAGTCCCCTCTTTGTAGGCATCCTTGAGTAATTATGGGATTACTCTGTTCTCCCTTTTTACTATTTTGGGCCGACATTTCCTTGTTGTAAAATACAGTTATGAAAGCGATTATAGGTGCGAAGCACAGTGTTTGAAGGACATTTCTGATTGTGTCCAAGTTACTCATTCCAAATCGAGTTTTGAGAGCCGTCCTACACACATAACACTTGATTCTGCATAAATTACATCCACATGCTCTCATATTCCGTTGCTAGATAACACGCGAAATGCTTGACGTTGCCTTGGCCTGCATGCGGCTGATTTGAACCTGCTGCTTTTCCTAACAGCTGATCAAATATTGAATGACAATCCCACATGAATATTAAAGTGATTGTTGATAATAAACAGACAAATTCTATCAAAGTCACACGGTGAAATTTACAAACAGCACACCCCTATTTGTGCTGACAACCACAAAGTCTATAGAAAGGCACTGTTTTCAAAAAATTCCCCTGTCAAACCGCTTTACAATCCTCATCAGCAAAACCCTCTGTTTCTTCCTGCCTCTGATACATCTTTCTGTTTGTCGACCGCACCGCTCAAGAGTCCGACACGTTGCGTTGCAGTCATTGTACTGGAGAAAATCCATAATGCGCCCGCTGACCGAGCGAGAGCGCGAAACACTCAATGAACCGGGCACAGAGTCTGAGAACGTACAGCGGAGAAACCACAGGCGTTGGAGAGCGCGGTGAATGTCTGCGTGGAGGTGTCTGTTTGGGTGACCGGCCCGCCAAGTGCTCTCAGGCTGTGTTCACCCTTTCACGTCCTCGCTTACTTTTAATGTTTCATTTATATTCCGTCAATCAAGTTGTTCATCCCTATCTATCTATCTAGATGTATATAGATATATATGTATATATAATGTGCTCAAACGTTGTATTTTGTGAGAGGTAATCCTGTCTTGCTCTGTGTGTGTGTGTGTGTGTGTGTGTGTGTGTGTGTGTGTGTTTTTGTGCGTCGATTGTGTGCCATCTGAACTCATTCGAGTGCCTCAAAGTGCTGCTGTGTGCTGCTCTTCTCTTGCTGCTATAGAAACACTGTAGTGACTAAACTGCTGCTGCTGCCTTGTTACCTCATGTCCTGCTCTCTTTTTCCTAAGTGACTCAGAACAAGGCCCCCCACCCCCTCCCCCCGCCCCGCCCCGTCCCTCCTCGCATAGCACCCCCCGCAGGCTGCTGCCAGCAGCAGCCTGCTCATGAAATCAATTCATCCCTGGGGAAAGACACTTAGAGAGGACACTCCTTCGTTGTGTTTGCAGGCTGAAAAGCGATGCATAATGAGCTGGCTTGACAGCTTTAAAAATAGTTTTGATTTAATGGTTTCCGAGAAACATCTTTAGATTAACAATATTTTTGTCTCAGTGAGGGATATTCTCTGTTACCAGACGGGATGCTTTTTGGCTCAGTGACATCAAGGACGCTCAATGTCTCCAATCGGACGTCCATTTTTCAAGACAGAGTATGGATCTACCCGATGCATTTTAAAAAGGTGCCCAAATGCAATTTTCCACAAAAATGCAGAATGCCGTGTGTTGCACGGCACCGAGAAGCGAATACGTTTCGCTGTCAACAATATGGGAATTATGCAAATGTTGCATCAGATGGATCTGTGCCCTGCTGTGAGCATGCTGCATGCACGGCTTTGCACTGTTAGCCCTGGTTTGGACAGACGCGTACCTCGTCAGCACACTCGTTTGACCAGCAACGTGTGTCTTCGGCTGAATTGGACAGGCGTATCTAACAAACCGGGGGCTCAAAGCCTCATTTGTGCCAAAGGGGCGTTTCAACATGCAGGATTGTCTTGTTGAGTGGATGTAGTTAAACCCACTGTTTGACGTGACTAATTTATAACATTAGCATTAATATTCCTCATCAGGCATTTTGAAGTACCCCTTATTTCGGCCTGTGTGATCACGTATACAGTATGTTAAATTGTGGATGTTTTCTGGGGAAAAGGATGAAGAACACTGAGTCTGGTGTTATTGCTCATAGGAAAGATTTTCTTTATGGTCCTTTGATTTTTATGCCATTTTCTACAAACAAAACTCAATTTTATTTAGGTATTCAACATTGTGTTATCGGCTGAACTGATCTAATCTCAAAGAGAACTTGATTAGCAAACCAGAAGTTTGTCATGTTTTCGCCCCGGTTTACTCCTTACATGCCGTGCTTCTAGCTTTATGGTTTTGTCTGTTTGTCTGGTCACTGATCTCCATTACTAATGGGCAGGCAAAGGAGCTGCCCACCTACAAGGACAATGACTTCATCAATGACGGCCAGAAGATCTGCATTGACGGGGAAAACAAGAAAATGTTCCTGGAGAAGCTCAGGAAAGACGTAGAGGTATGTGTGATTAATCCCCCCTTGCTGTCTCTTTCAGATTTCGACTCTCTGCTATCTCCCTCTTGTCTAAACACCCCCCCTTTCCTCCCACTTGCTTTAATCCCCTTATACTTCTGGTCCTACCTCCCTCCGTCGTCCTCAGTTCCTCGCCCAGCTGAAGCTCATGGACTACAGTCTGCTGGTGGGGATCCACGATGTGGAGCGAGCCGAGCAGGAGGACGTGGAGAGCGAGGACAATGAGCCCGAGGATGAGGGGGAGAGTGATGGAGGAGGCATTGGAACGCCCCCCGACAGTCCCAGCAACACCTTGGACAGCACCAAGCCGCTGTCCCCAGGAGAGTTTGATCCGGCCATTGACGTCTACGCCATCAAAAGCAATGACAGTGAGTAGCCGGAGGCATCAAAGATTAATACAAACCGTGTGATGTGAGGGTTGCACTTTTACAATTGAATATTTTAACCTGATCTGAGAGCTCCCCCTAGTGGAGGTAGTTCTCATTCCGCCTAGTCGCAGTTTTAAGGATTGTCTTTGTCTCATTTAAAAATACCTCATTTTGCCCGATGACAGATTTTCATCCAGGGTGAATTCTATTTTTCAAACCACAGGTGCTCCCAGGAAGGAAGTTTACTTCATGGCTGTCATAGACATCCTGCAGCATTACGACGCCAAGAAGAAAGCTGCTCACGCCGCCAAGACTGTCAAACATGGAGTATGTAGCCGCATACGAGAGCCATTTGAACCCTTCTGATAAAACAATGTCTGGAGAAGCGAATGACGGTGGTCTTTGTGTCCCCTTACAGGCCGGAGCGGAGATCTCCACGGTGAACCCAGAGCAGTACTCTAAGCGGTTTTACGATTTCATCACCACTATCCTGTCATAGCCTCCAGGAGCTACAGGGGGCACACAGGCACATAAGAAAGGCGGGACGAATGGGGAGTGAGGGGGGGGGGGGGGTGACAGAGAGGAAATAAGACCTCGGAGGGGCTGAATTAATAAGGTGCTATGATGGCTTTTATCACTCTCCCTCGTTCTCTTCATCCCTCCCTGTTGGTTTCTCTCTTTCAAATAGCGTGCCACGCTCTGCAGCTAAAAAAAAAAGAAAAGAAACGTCATTCGTTTACATTTAACCTCCTCTTATGTTGACTTTTGCTCATGTGTCACTTTGAATGATGAGGATGTCGAAAGCAGGCATCCGAGTCATTAAGGTTTTTTTTTTTTTTTAGTTTTATATCATTGTTTTTTTGTCTCTTTGGTTGTTTTATGTGGGAATATGGCTTTTTATTGCATCAAATACAACATCCAGCACCCTGCATTTTTATTTAGTTGTTGCTTGCGATGAAGGGGAGTGTAGAGGTGAGATTACGGCACACGCTGAGGTTCCTCTCGCAAAGAGGAGGCTTAATGTAACGAGGAAGCTCATGTGGAGCCTCGCCTAATGCAATTGCTTCATTTCAGGGAGTAGGAAGCAGTCTTCCAGTAGGCGCCCCCCCCCCCGACCCAAATGCTATACAAGCAGTCAGCCAAAAAAATATTCCCACTTGGGTTCCTTCTGCATCACCACAATCCTTTAGACGCCATCCCCTTTCCTCAGTGTCCAGTTAATGAATTGTGCCACACACTCACAACAACAACAACAACAACAAGCGCTTCTCATCAGCTGACACGAGTTCACCTGTTTCAGTGAATTCTGACGCTTGTTTTCCAGCACGAGTCGGACACTCAGTGCTCGTCGGTGCTTTGTCCCTTTCGCTTTGTTGTGAGAATGATTTAAGGGAAGTACGTGTACCTAGAAGTGAGAGGAAAAGGGGGATCGGGGCAAATGTTTTTCGGTTGCGTTACCTCTGGCTACGCGGGGCGTTTGTTTAGTAGGCCCGGTTTCCGTTCCTGTGGCCCGGGAACGAGCCAGAACTCTGGTGGCTGTAGTTAACAAGAGAACGTCACTCTTTGTTCTATCTTCAAAACGGGTGTCAGACTGAAACATCAACAGCCCTTAACTCTCTGTTGCCATCAGCACCTTTTATGAAAAAAAATCCCAAATGTTGCACTTTTATTTCTCATTTGAGGTTAGGAGCTCTTGTTCTGTTACAAAAGAATCAACCTTTTAGGGGCCTGATCTCCAGTCTCCTCTTGTCCTCCTCCTTCCCCACCTAATGGGTACACTTACTGGAGGGATTGGTAAAGGGAGACTACTGCAATATTAAGACGGAAAAGTGGACCAGTTCTATTTACAGGGCGTTTTGTAAGCCTCCATTCCCCCTCAGAAGGCCCCCGGGGCGTCGGGCCGGCCGACGGGGAGAGTGCGCGCTTGTGTGTTCTGGTGCAGGCAGAAGACCGTTTACCTCCAGCATCGTACCAGCACACACTCGAGGACGGCGGCCGACGTGCGAGTGTGTGATTCAGTGTTTAAGAGATGGGGGGGTGGGGGGGTGAAGGTGCCGTCGCATGTAAAGATGCGCGTTAAGTCACTAACAGCATCTTTCTCTTCTCTAACCTCGTCTGTGAGTCTGTTGTCCATAGTTGTTTGTGTTGTTATTGATGGCATTTTTATAGGTGATTTATCTGTGTTTTGAATTTGGCAGTTTTATGAATTAATGTGGTAATCTTTTTTTTCTGTTTTTGAGGTTTTTTGTATATTTTGCACAAGAGGAAAGGAACCAAATGTTACGAATACAATCCCAATTAGTTGATAGTCTTAACAAGGGAAATGCAATATACTTGTGTGTAAGCGAGGAAAGTTGTGCGTGTGGTGTTGTGTATCACTTCTGGATAACCATTGTAACCCATGCAGGAGGCTTCCATCACCATATCTTTGTGAGCAATCACATTTATATTTTTGCATTGGATTTTAGTCATGAAATAGTTTTATTTAAATATAAATGTGGAGCCACACCTTGGGAACGAATGATGGTGCTGTGCTAAATGAAGAATGATTGTGCTTGAATTTACACAATACTTACGATAGATGTACTTTACAACAGAAAAAAGTTCTAAAAATATTGCATGTCACAGGACTAAGTTTCCTTTTTCCTCGCTAGTCTGTGTTGTTGGCTGTTCAGGTTATCTTTGTGTCCCTAAACTTTACCAGATTTGTGAGCTGTTCAGCGTAAAGTAGTCCCTGCTTTAAATACCTGTTTTTCATTGTATACACTGTGCAAGATGTGTGCCTTTATACTCCAAAATGATTTAATTTTATATTTTGTATTCTTTTTTTAAAACAAAGGTAAAAGGTTATTTGAACAATAGGGTATGTATGTAACCCCCCCCTCCCCCAACCTTCTTCCACTCCACCACCTGTGTGTTTCATTCATACAATTAAGTGAGCTGAAGAAATCCCCTCTGACTGATTGTGTTCAAAACGTGAGCAGCTGTCGGGAATCTGAACCTGGTGGATTGGTTCAGATGTATCGTCGTGATTCCTCCGGTGCACTCGTCCCTTTCCCCTCCCCGGGCAGCGAGGGGGTGTCGGGCCGGCGTTACGTCCTTGTCCGGTCGCGCTGGTCCTGCCTTGTATTGACAACGTGGTTGTGAGGTGTGGTTGTGCTTTGTTGTCCTCGCTAACTGACAGCTGACACCCCCTCCCCTCTCCTCCCCCTCCTCCCCCATTCAGGAGTCTGCTATAACATTTACCTTCTTACCACAGATTTCAGGAATGTGTTTTCTTTATTTTATTTAATAATAGTTTGTTCAACCGTTCACTCACCGTCCATAAAGCTCCTCCTCATTTCTGAAGCATGTTCGTGCGCTCTTGCGTTTGTGTAGCCCAGATTACCCTCTTTGTTTTTACCAAGGTCATCGGCTGATAGTTCACCCCGAGTCAGTGGTCAATTGATATTTCTGTGTTCTCCCAGTATTTATGAGCTGTTTTTGTTCCTTTCGTCGCGTAGCTCATGCTGTACATAGGTTGTGTCCTGAAGAAACGTGCTCATCCTCGCTTCTGTTTTGCTGTGTTCGGCCCTGGAGGCCTCACTGTACTCTGATATCAGCAAGTGTGAAAACCGAGCAGTGCATGCTGGGATTTATTATTCCCCCGTCTCGTTTTTTTTGGGAACGTCAACTCCGGACGTTGTCGGAACTGAACGGATGCAAATTGAAAACCGTAATAACGCGTGCGCCCTGCTGCTGTAACCTTGACTTTAACAAGTCTTTGCTTTCGTGACTTCTCTCGTGAACGAGCTCCTCCTCCTGTCGACCCGCCAGTCAACCTGCCGCCACGTTGACTCGCCACAACGCTCGGAACCGCCACGCGTGAGCTTGAAGAACATTGTGTGTCGTTGTAACGTGTGTTTGTTTCAACTGTTTTTGTTTATTTCCATGCACTGGGGAACGGAGGACAGTGTGTGTCACTGATATGTGAAGGTGTCCAGTTAGGAGAAACCACCCTGTGTTCATGTGGCTGAGTGTCAGGCGTGTTAAGGGGAAATTTGATCACAAATAGCGAATGACCAGAGCAAAATCTGCAGAGGTGGTAAAAAAAAAAGGGGGAATAAATATATATTTTGAAAGTGCATGTGCAAAGTCACGTCAACAGACACCAGGGCCCGGACACATGCCTGCAATTGAGCTTTTATCTCACAAAAGTCCCAAGTACTTTTAGAAAACATCTAAAAGACGTGTGTGCGTGCGTGTGTGTGTGTGTACGCGTGTGTGTGTTGCTGTCTGACTGGTTGTTGAGAGTTATATTTCAGTGGCAGACAGGTCACAATGATATGTATGTTTATTGTTCTTCACATTTAATGATGGCGATGAGAATACACTCCATTCCATAAGCGTTCACTCAAACCAATTAAAGCACTTGTTATGCTTAATTACCTGTGGGGTTTTTTCTTTGTTTACTATTTAATCTGTATTATTGTGTTTTCTTTATTTCTAAATGTTGTTGTTTTACTTGCTTCACACTCTGAAAGAATGTCTTTCTCACAACTCATAAATGAATCATCCCTCCATAGACAACTGCATAATTGTTTGTAATGTTAAGCTCATGCACCAGTCACACCCCGAGTTAATATTCCGTTACATCAGAGGAAACGGCACACACGTTTTAACCGATATTTAACATTTAAGAAAGAATTTAATCAAGATTGGTGAACAACGCCTAAAAAAATGGCTGAACTAAACGAAAACACGGTCACGTCCTTTTATGTCTTTGTTGAATCTTTGGAGAAACGCACGAGGTCTGTTTGAAAAAAAATACATTAGAAAAAAATAAAAACCAAAGTAGCATTTATATCTGCAGGGATTCCCGCTTTGGAAATACACACGCACGAAGAACAAAACGTCCTTATCGCTCAAATCTGCATCCGTTACTTTAACTTTGCACTAAAATGACTCTGTGGCGACCTGCTTTCAGCCGCTTCACACATATTAAATGTTTCAAATATATGCCGATCATTTTTTAGTTAATAAATGCTACATACAACAATGTGTATTTAGTTTTTTTTTGCTTTTTCTTTTTTAGGATTATCCCAAAGGTCGCGGGCAGAGGCGAAGCTTTCTTTGTTTCATTATTATCCTCAATTCAAATGCGGTTGATCAGCTTTTACATCATAACGCGTGTTTCTTGGTTTGTAGACCAACACACACTGGGGTCACGTTTGTATCCCTTTTAAAAAAACTGCATACAATGAATGTCGTCGTTTCCTAATATATTTATTTGAGACGCAGGTTCGCGCATTTCCTTCCAACACCAATTCACTGATAGAAAGAAGGTAAGTGAGCGAAGAATTCCTTCCACTGAGGAAAAAAAGCAGCTTATCGTTCTGCAGCAGACTCCGTTTCTTCATTAGATCAATGCACACCTCTCTCCTACAGGGTCGGTTAAGATGCGGGGATCGTATTTTCGATCTGGTTTTGGTTTGATTATTAATGCCTGATGAACGCGACAGTTTTTGTAATACGTGTATTCAACATAATAACTTATTAAAACATATTTATAATGTGCTTAATTAACAAAACAAAAAACGCAACGCAGACGTAAAACACATAGGAGGCGGGTGGGGGTGAGGAGGTGGCAGCTGCAGCAGGACCAAGTTGTAATCTCGGCGGCGGCGGTAAGAGGCGGAGGCTCATTTGCACCGTCAGGACGATGCGAAGAACAAGCGGAGACAAACCAGCAGACAATAAACAAAGGGAGGCTTGCCATGTGCGCTGCAGCTGCTGCTGCACACACGCGCACACGCACGCGCACAGGCACACACAATGCGTTGTGCTGCAGTGAGGAGTCCTCGCCGCCAGGGGGCAGAATGAGCCGTGCGACAGTAGACGGGTGGAGAAACGTGTTCGATGTGTGCGATGAAAAAAGGAAGCGGCTTATGAGCTTCGCTTCCGGTTCTTTTACTTAAAAGGTTGTTACTCGTGAAGCCTCCGGCCTAACGAGGTGTCTCTGCGACGCGCTCGTTCCATACCATCTTTGGGGCTGCATTGATGAACCTGACCTTTGACCTTTTAACGGAGGCTAAAGATAATCTTTTTCATTCAGCTCCATAAAATGTCCTTTTATTCATTTCTTTTTTTTAGGGTCTCTTACACATATAGTGGCAACGTTGGCAAACACAATGAATAACAGTCCTAACTCAAGCTGCAGGTACGGGACACTTAAAACGTTTTGTTTTGAACAACATGAAAAATTAAAACATTTAAATTAGCATACATGTTATGCCAAGGCGTACCCATGGTACATCTTCATGTTAGTGTCTCAACACGTGCTGTTTGCACCGGTGTTAAGCCGGCTGGTAGTACTCTAACCGCTCAAGCAAGACCTCTGAGTAGCCAGGGGAGTAGTACCTGAAAAACACACAAACACATGTACATAGACCTTAGTGGGGGGTTTTCTAACGGTAGATATTTTAGGAGGGAAGCTGGGAAGGAGAAAGAATATATACACCATACTATAATTGTGCTGCTGAGTCAGCGCACGCTTCACAGGTTTTTTTTTTCGATGTCCACAAAGTATTGGTGTTTCAGCAGGCATGCGTGTGTCCATTTGAGCCAACGAGAGAAACGCACCTGACTATCTCCTCGGGGAAGCAGCTGTTGATGGCGTTGATGTGCTCCTGCAGGGGGGAGCCGGGCTCTGCCTCGATCTCTTGCAGTTTCTTCAACCCGCCGCTGGTCACAAACAGACGGCGAGCCTTACTGTCATGAGGCAGCACCTTTTGATGGGAGGGAAGTCGGAGTGAATTATAAAAGGGGTTAAAATGTGAACCATTTGTATAGTGCAGAGCCCTGATTGATGCTGTGACGCCAGCTGGAGACACGCTCACCTTGCTGAACTGGCAGACGACATGTCTGAGGATGTTGCTTGGAACATCATAGAGTAGAGGCTCCAGACTTGGCAGGTCGGTGCACTTCTGCAGAACGCTCTTTAGAGCCTTCTTACTCTGAAAAGAAAAAGAATGATAAAGTCATTCTAAAACATTTCCGTGTCTCTGTTTTTCTTTTTTTAACTAGGTGACCTTTGATACCAAGTGACCTGCGAGTCAAAATATGTAATATTCAATCTTCTCTTGTTTTTGTGCTGTTAAAACTGCTCCTTTAGATACTTACTTGTGCCTCAATAAAAATGTCAACTGGTGAAATTAACAAGCAGAAATTTAAGACCTTTTTAAAGACCATTTCCATTCATTTTAAGACCTCATCGCCATTGTGTGTTCAAAGATATTCAAATTTGAGAAAAAGAAAAAGCATATAATAATTTAGTGGATCCAAAAAACTCATCAAATTTAAAGCAATTGTTTAGTAGAAACGGAGAAGTCAAAGAAAAAGTCATGTAGCTAGAGATTTAGAAAATCACCTCAAAAAAGCATTATTGTGTAAAAAAGAGTCCTGAAAATGTTGTAGTACACAACGTCAACAAAAAAAGTCAAAAAGTATGTCTGGGAAAGTCACAGGATAACGTGTCAGAAAAGTCCTGCCGTGTAAGAAATGATTTAGCAGATCTAAAAAAAAAAAGTATAGACTATATGTCAGAAAAGGGAATTGACATATATTGCATTTAAAAAGTCATCAGCGACTATGTGTCGTAGAAAGTATTATTATTGTATGCCAAGAAATGCATTAATATATATAGTAAGTGAAAGAAAGAGTTCAAGAGTTGTTTTCACAACTGGTCACAAATCACAATAATATGTAGAAAAGAGTATAGTGTATAAAAAGTAATAATATTTTTATTATATGTATGAATAATACATATAATAATATATTTATAATATAATTATAGTGTCAAAAAAGGTTAAAGCATATCAAAAAAAAGTCAATAGTTATTCCATTATATGTCCATTCAGTGATATATAAAAAGACAAATGATTCCATATAAATAAAACTCACAGTATATAGTAGCCTAAAAAAATAATATAACAGTTATAGTTAAGCATCATAATGTGCATGTCCAAGTGGATATTAAAAGGTAATTGTTTAACATATTAAAAAACGGATTCTTGTTTGCTGAGTCAAATCCATTACAGTATTTCAAAAAGTCTTTGTATAGTAGGAAAATATCCTAAAAAAATCCTCGTATAGTACATATAAACAAACATAACAGATTCCCCTAATAGTGATATAAAGGCAAAAGTAAAGCATATTGTGGAAAAACTCATTTTATAATATTTTAAAATAAGTACATAGAGATCATGGTACAGTCTGTGGAAAAAAAGTCCTAAAGAAGTATTTGTGTAGAAGGATAAAAAAAACTCATATCATAGTTGTTTCTTAACACGTCTAAACATCTAGATGTTGTATGTAAGAAAAAAGTAATTGTCAAGCCAAGACATTTTTTTAGAAGGTTCTAAAATAATAATAAAAAGGTAACCGTACCTCTGACAGAATGAACAGGTGACAATACCAGCTTAGGTAAATGATTAGAAATAAGTTAATTGTGTGTTATTCATTATTTGTAGTGGCAGGCTAACAATAGGTTCAAGGCTGATGATATGTATGTATCAAAGAAATCTCTATTAAAATGTTGAAATAGACCAAACCATACACAGCTTTATCCTGGTGCATTTTCAAATACCACTGAGGATACACATTATAAATAGATAAATAACCAGCAAGCACGTTTTTTGGGTTACTTTCAATGTCTGTAAGTATTTTTGTTTCTTTTTCAAATGCTTCCTCCTATGTCGTCAAATTGGTGATATTGTGGGGTTTTTTAAACAAGTAATCCCGAATATGTTTATATATTTTTGAGAGGTAAAACATGACCAAATACTTTTACTTTGACTTCATCTGTAAATCAAACACTGCTTAAGATCAGCTCTTACTTTGGCCTGCAGGTCCTCTGAGCTGCTGGCGTCCATGTAGAGTTCCAGCAGTTTGGCCAAGAGGTCGGAGGTCGCCACTGCCTTGGCGTGCTCAGGGGTGTGATGACCGATCTGGCCGATGGACCAGGCTGTGGCCGCCTTGATGTGAGGCTCACGCTCCTCCGACAAGCAGAGGGCCAGCTGGGGCAAACCCTACAGGACAGGGTGACACACGGCATGATGGGGCTGGTTCCCTCAACGTGACCTATGAACTGGGCCTGAAGAGGGATGCCCACCTTGGAGAGAATGACAGCCATGGCGAGGTTCTCGCCGTGAGCTGCCACATACCCCAGCATCATGATCCCGGGCAGCCGTAGGTTTCCATGGCAATTGCCCAGATAATCCACCACGGCGCCCACGGCACCACAATTCACAATCATCTGGGCCAGCTGGGAAACAGACGCAGATTCATTTGTGACCACACTCGCACATCTGGGCTCCAAATGTGCGAGAGAGAGAGCGAGAGAGAGAGAGAGAGCGAGAGAGAGAGAGAGCGAGCGAGAGAGCGCTGTACCTCCGGTGAGTGTTTCACCACCTCCCTCATCAGAGTGGTGACGTTTTTCTTGACGTAGTCATCTGGATCGTTGAGGCAGGCCATCGCCGCAGGGAAGATCTCCGCCTCTATCACCATCTCTGCCAGGCTGACCGAGTGTTTACTGATCTGGCTGAGGGCTGAGAACACCTGCCTCTGGGTGGAGACAGAAACTTGTCCGAATCATTGCCGGAGCTTGTGTCAAAACACTTTAGTCAAACGAGCTTCATGGTGTATAGTTGTAGCCAGCATGTATGCTGGAATCTTTCATTTTTCATAAAATTACTGGTTGTTCTCAGCTGCTGAGCTCATCTATTAAATTTAATTACATTTGCTATAAGGATGTTATTTCAATTTTGAAAATTGAGATGCAATTTTTTGCTCAAATTCCAGCAGTTTTATTGAAACTTTATTGAAGCTTTTTATCCTTGTGTTAGTTGCAAGAACTGAAATGCACACACAATTCTGTTATTCTATTCCACCACATAATGTTTTTCAGACGTGTTCAGTTATTATGATGGTAATTTGTCACAATTCATTATTAATTAAATCACCACATTCTAAGGGCAAGATGTTTGTTAAAAAGGTGAACATAGAGAAAAATAGAAACCATCAAATGCAAACATTAACACAAAAATGGCATATAAATATGTAATATAATAATATTCAAGATATTTGCGTGAATATATTTAAATAATATATTCGTATACAGTTGGTTCTGTTAAACATTCATTCTTATCATGCGTAAGTGATGTAATTGTGTCCAGAGTAAAAGCACCAAAGAAAAGCATTTTTGTTGTTACTTTAATGAATTAATATCTACCTTACTTAATACTTAAGTACTGGTTATTTTTACCTGATATGGAAACATTGCTCTAAATGTAAGGAAAAGCCACGAAGAATGATCAGCTATTCTAATAAAACTTTTCTTTTTTGGTTTGAGTTGTCCTACCTTCAGTTTGGCATCCGGGTTGAGGATCATCTGCGCCAGATGTGCGATGGCTCCATTGTCCACCACAGATTGGGCCAGCTCCGGTGTGTGCTTGCAGATGTCACTGAGGGTGGAGGCCGCGATGCGTTTGAGTGCCATCTCGGGCTCCTGAAGACTCAACACCAGCAGTGGCACAGCGCCCGCATCCACCACTGACTGAGACAACGCTGCACCGAGACGGGAACAGACGGGAAGCATGAAAGCAAATACACAGAAGGTCAAGGTCGAAGGGCAAGGAGAGAACATGGGAGAGGGAGGCCGTGGAAGCTTGTGCGTCTCCCTCACATGCGTTGTGCCGTGCGATGTAGCCCAGGGCCCAGGCAGCAGCCTCCTTCACCCCGGGGTCAAACTCCTCCAGACAGAGAACCAGGGCATCAACTCCCCCACAGGCCACCACCGCCTGGGACAGCTCGGGGGAGTGTTTGGCCACTGCACGCAGCACAAACGCCGCTGCCTTCTTGTAGAACCTCTGCACACAGACGCACACAAATACACGCGCTGTCATCTTTTTCCCGGTGTTTTTGAATGGAGCAATAATGTCACGTATCCGGTTATGTGCTTGTGTTTTCTTCTCATGCGCTTGAATCCCTGAATTGTCATCATCAAAAAATCAACCAATTATTTTTTCAATCAAAAGTTATTACAGTTTTAATTCTAAGAAGGGGACCAAATACATAAATAGCCATGAATTGTTTTTGTCTAACAGAAAAACATGGTTCATGTACTCAAAATAAAACTCTCTCATGCCACTAGCTGCAGTGAGACTTTCAAAACCCTAACGTTACAACAGAGATTTTTTATCATCTTTAACACCATTATTTTGGTAATCGGCTATTTGAAAAACATGTTGAAAACCGTAAACTGTGTAGTTTTACACTAAAGAGACTGCCACGTCCCGTTAACGACAACAGCAGCTAAATCTTGTCTGTCGTCCCTGAAATAGCTGAGAGACAGAAAGAGAGAAAACAAAGGCTCGGTTGCTCTCATGGTAAAAGGGCCTCTTAGGTTTTGAAGTAGCCCCAAGGCGGGCTGCCAAGTAGCCCAAAACCCATTCTACCATCCAGGGGGCTGACCCCAGGGGCCGGCAGGGTCTCCTTCCTCTCTCTCTCTCTCTCTCTCTCTCTCTCTCTCTCTCTCTCTCTCAGACAAACACAGACACACATACAAATCCACCAGCCAAACCACCTTTGAAACATTTAGCTCTGTTGCTGCAGAAAAGACGAGCTATACTGACATTCTGAAAGGTCAAAGAGTGGACCAGCTGGGGCAGGATGTCTTCTTTTACCACCGCTTGGGCCAGGTCATCGCTGTGGTCGGCCAGGCGGCCCAGAGCCAACGCCGCCGTCTGCTGGATGCTGGGGACCACATCCAGCAGGAGGGGACGCAGCATGGGCATCACACCTGCAGGAGAGGGGAGGAGTTTGACACTCGTTAGCTGAGGCTAACTGGTTGTACGCTGCGCTTAGTTTCTTACCTGCATTTTGGAGGAACTCTATGTTTTGCGGTCTGGCTGCCAGATCAGCGACAGTTTGCACAAACTGCATCCTTGATTTCTGGAACTGCTCAAAAACTGAAAAACACAGAAAACGTTCAACTTTGAGCTTCGTGGGCTTTTTTTATTGAATAAAAACTGCTGCTGGATCTCACCTTGAATTATCTGTCGTTGACTCATTGTCACCCGGATGGAAAAATGCCTCCTCCTGGAGATTTATTGCCACAGCGTGGTGGATTTATCGCAGGATTCAGGACCGTCGCTACGTTTGAGCTGGGTGGTGTTGTCGTTGGGTGTTGCCGTGGCAACCGGCAGGAAGCGGAATGCGCAGTGGCTGCGGCCGAAGATCGTGTGTTGAGAAGATGAATCACCCCCTCCCGTCTTTTCGCAATCAAATTGCACTTCGCCTCGTCTCAGTTCCTGCAGATTTCCGTGGAAGTCGGGTGGCCGCTATGCGTCCAAAACGCTGGCAACGGTGAACTTGTCAGCATATTTGAACCAGCACAGCGTAGCGTTTAACATTTTATTATCAAGTGCTTTAATTCTTCTTTCCTTGACCTTCTCGAGGAGTTTGTCCTCAGATGAACCGCCGGTACGAGTTCTTCTTGTTGCACCAAAATAGATCTGATTACTCTTTATCTTTTACAAAATGTGGCTTATTGAGATCAGTATGAACATGATCCTCTCTCTCTCTCTCTCTCTCTCTCTCGGTTGATATTTGCCTCAATCGTTTGGTGCTGTCTAGTCAGCAGATGAAAGACATATAGAGACAATGATAACAATATGTGAGGATTGCCATTTGGTCTATGATTTGAAATAGATCCATTCAGGCAAACAAGACATACTGCTTTTGTTCATGTTGTCCAAAAACCGACAGACTTAGAGAAAATACGTCTATTTAAATGAGCCGATCCAGGACTGATAATCGGTTATTAAGGCACGTATTTTGCTTTCGAATTTTACACATTTTATGGGGCCAAATTAACAAGTATTTCTACGTATTGTAAAATGTAATTCATACTCAGGTTTTTTCACACCCTTTGGTCTGAATGGGTTGCGGTTTCCGCATTTGGGAGGGACTTTTTTCATATTTAATTGCAAAAACCGCAGGGATTATTAATCCCCAAAGAATGTATCATGTATTAAATTCGAATGAGTGACATTTTCGTTGTATTGCTCTATAAAGCTCTCATACAATGAAGCTGTTCTGTGAGACACTGATTATGGACTCGACTCAAATGTAAACGCGTATCCAATCTGGTATCATGTGTTCTTTCTTTCCGTCCATCTGTTCAATAAAGGCATTTTCTTAATGACTGCTTTATTTAGACCAACTTAATTTGTAGGAATTTCAGCCTGAGCTAGATTTAATGTACTTAATATATATTATTGAGTGCTTTGAATAGCAACATACAAGTGTGTGGGAGTTGCTCGTTTTAAATTACAATAATTAAAAAATGCAGATATAGTAAATCATCTAAACGTAGGCCAATTCGTTTCTGATTCTTATTTGTTTTCATCCCCTTCTTTGGCAGCCTACTTTAATCGTCCAAAATAAGTGAAGATATAAAATCACCTTTCATGAAAGTCACGCTGGAATTTTTTTGAGGGAGATAAAATAATAAACCGTTGTGCTCTTTAAGTTTAAGCCTTTAATTTGAGTTTTTCTTTAAAAAAAAACGTCGCATTTTTGTGCAGCAGATGCAATCACTCGAGTGATTTATCGTCAATACAACAAAAAAATATAAAAATCTAAAAGGCTTCAATCTTCATTGCAGGTATTGAGAAGCATGATCGGATTCCGGGCCAGACGACCTCTTAGAGTTATCTTCATCGCTGCCGATTCACAAAGACATCTGGCGCTTTGCTCCGACTTGTTTTAACAAAGGCCCGTTTGAGCGACTCCTTCATCTGCTTGTTGTTCGAGCTAAAAACAGCAGACCGACTCGAGAGAGGAACATCGAACCGACTGCTACAGTAAGTGTAAAATGTTTTTATTTAGATGTTTTATACTGTGCAACAGTAACAATACAATAGGTTGTCCATACAATCGAGCGATACAAATACGGAAAACACGGGGGACATCAAAACATCTGCCATCATTCCCTCACAACAACAACAAAAAAGGGGGGGGGGGGGATAAGAGAATAACATAATCGCTGATTAAATATGCACTTTGTTTATATTTACACGTGGATTCTCTAAAACTGCTTAAGACGTCTTGGCTAAGCGATCCGATTCCACTGCAGCTACAGAAAACTGATATCTTTTGTTTCTTTTTTTCAGTAAAAGGCAATTATATCTCCCCCCCCCCCCCCTCCATGTTTTCCATGAAGCCAACAGCGCCGCACGAACGTACATGTTCGCTTGGCTGGAACGGGATCAGCCTCTGAAACAACCTTATTTTAAAAAACGAGACTTCTGAGGGAAACACGCAGAATTCTCTTTTATACAAAAAAACAACAACAGTGTTATCATGAGCATGCATGCTTAAACAGAATGTTTCAAAATATCCCAACACACATGAAATAATTCATGATAAACACGTTGAATCTGAACGAATGAAGAAAATATAAGTATATCTCCAGTCACTTAGAATAAAGATGTAGCTTTAAAATTGGATAAATGCTTGTCCTTCTCTTTTCCAACTTGCTTTTCGGTTGTTGTTGTTTTTGTTTTGTTTTTACATGTCAACAGCAACATCTCCTTTCATATTCTATCAACAGAAATCCCCCGCCGCCCCAGAACTTCCTCGTTCCTTTTGAAATGCCTCCGATTCCACTACGTTTAAACGTACATGTGATGCCATAATATTTAGAACAACGAATGGGGAGCGAGAGACAGACAGAGACAGAGACAACATCGCCTACACAATGGAACTACGTTGGCATGAGCGCAGCAGGCCGGTCGGCGGAGCGGGGCGTCCGGCGTCGGCGGCTCGCCTCATCCGGAGGACGTCGACGAGCCGTTCAGTGAAACCTTCCGGGCCTTGTTGCCGCCGCCGCCGCCGCCTCCGAACGGAGTGAACGACCGACTGGGGGTCGGAGGGGGCGCGGTGGTGGCGGCGGCGGCGGCGGTGGTGGTCGTCGTGTTGGTGGCGACGGCGGCGGCTGCGGTGGAGGAGGAGGAAGAGGAGGAGGCGACGGCCGGTGTCCCGTTGACTTTAACGGGGCCGTGCGGGAGTTGCGGGGACCTCGCGGGCGTGCCGGGGCTCGGCAGCGACGAGGAGGTGGACGGAGCCCCGGCGGGACTTCCGGCTTTGTCGCTGGCGGAGTCGCTCTCGGGACCGGACCTGCTGGCGCTGCTTTGGCCCTCCTGCTGCGCGTGGCTCACCTTCATCTTCTTACAGTTGGGTCGGACTCGGTACTTTAGAGGCAACGGGCCGTTCTGTAAAGCGGGGTTGTGATAGGAGAGATCATTAAGTAGAAGTAGACTACAATTTATTTTTTTAAGCGTGAAAGCACAACCTCTACAAGATGTTTAAAAAAAATGTGCAGTCTCATTTGGCCTACAACGCAACTCCAATCGAAACGACTGTTTCAAAATACCTTCCACTCATGGGATTCATGACCGCATACTGTAAATATTTTAAATGCCAAGCCCTATAAATGACCAAAATATTTTCCAAATTACGCGATAAGAACTTCTTAACCGTAATTTCTGATCAGTTATACATTTTTTTCCCCACACAGGAAATGACCTCCAGGTGAACCTGTGACCAAATTAGAATTGTGAAAAGTCCCTCGACTCATCCTGTCAGATCAAAAGTGCCCAGTTAGTCTCAAAACTACCAACAAAGAGGAAACCCATAATTAACAGACATTTTTTCAGAGCTTAAATCCCAACATGTGGCCTGCCACTTATTAGTTAGTAAAGCCCTTCTTAATACACTCAATATTAACATTGGTTGTCCTTTTTTATTACTTTAAAGTAATTCAATACTGGATTTTAATTATAAAAATACAAATTAAATAAGTAAGCTCCAACTTATAAGCAGACATCATCATAGCATACATGACAATATAGACTTTACATTATCGGTATATTATCATACAAGGAAAATAGGAACGTTTGATGTATTCCTTATGTCAGATTACATACGTCGGGATAAACCAACCGACAGATCTATTTTGTCCAAAAAGGTCTCTTACTCTTCTCCATGTGTAGATATATGCTATATCCATTAAAGTGTAGTAATCTTTCAGCGGTTCGTCTTCATACATGACTTCAACCTAGACAGGAAAAAAAAGCACATTTTAATAAAACAGACAAAATCTTCAGTTAAATAAATTTCAAAATAATATGGTTTCATAATTCCCATGAACGGTGAGAATGTTCAATTTATATTCTCCAATAATGTAAAAATAAATAATGAAATCAATACCTGGTAGGCATTTGGGATGTCCATTTTGCTTCGCAGAAACTTCCTCAGATGCATGATGGTCATGGCTGCTGGACACTGCAGGTACCTTTTGTTAGCCACCTGCACATTAGGAAAGGATTCCCAAATTATACAAGAGACGATATATTTGTATGGAAGTTTATTATTCAGAAGGACTAGGCATCTGAATCATTGGACTGGTCCACCTCAAAAGCTGAAATCAAATCAGCGAAACAATGAGGCCCTTCAGAGGAAACTGTTTGTTTGGTTAAAACGTGTCTGATTTCGCAACACAGATCGAGAGATAATAAATCATGCACAAAAAAGTGTGTCTGCAGTGCCTTCCATTCTTTGTTGATGTTAACAAGAACAGAATGTGGCCGAAAGGAACTTACCAAGTTAAGATCTTTAGACTGCTTGTCCTCCATGGAAGCTTCCAGTCTGCAAATAATTAGAAAATATGATATACTCTGCAGATTTATGGCACTCAGGTTATTTATGTGCTGACCATATATTCAAAAGCACAAATTTATTCGGAATAAATAAGAGGATATTTAATATTCCCAAACATATTTTTCTATATTTGACACACACAGTACTTGTGGCTTATTCCTCATGTCAACAGCCCTTAATTATTATTACAAAAAGTTGAAATTGGAATGCATTGGAAATAAATAATACATTTAAAAAAAATAATAATAATTTTGTTTGAAACGACTACTATCCATTACATTTCTACAAGTTGCTTCCAATAAAAATAATAAGTGATTCAGTAATAAGTCAATAAGTGATCTAATTAACTTTGGGCAAACACACATTTCGTTCCCTGGAGGGAAGGTGTGTTCAGAACGTAACGTAGCAGGATATGACTCATTTGGCCCTGGTTATCTATGCTGAACAGTTGGAAGAAGTATAAGCTCTCTGGAAGTGAATGCCTACCTGCTGTGGTCAAAGAACTCGATAGAGAGGCTGATGATCTCATCATCCGTAATAATCCTCTTGTCCTCGTCTGCCACCTCTCCACGATCCTCATTTGATCCATTGGAGGCTGCAGGTAAAGTACGCAGAAAATGTTGTTTTAAAAAAGAACAAGGAGTCCAAAAACAATCTGGAGAAACGGCCTGCAGTGAGACGCCAACAGGGGAAAGATTCTTCCTTCTTCATCCAAAACTTCAAGGGACTCTTCACCGTGGTGAGTGAAAGGAAATTAAATGAGGCCATTTGTGCGTTTGAACTCACCATCTACAGGGTGCTCCGCATAAAAGTCTCTCCGCCGCTTCATTTCACCTTCATTTCAGGAAGACAAGCAACCATATTCAGTATAAATAAGTAGAAACCTTTAAAAACACATTCAGTAGGTAGATGGAAAAATCACCTACATTTGGTAACATTATGCGATTTTGCAATACCGCCAAAAAAAGGCTTGTGCTTCAAAACCCTCCACGTCATCATTATGCTTTTCCATATAATGAAATATAAGATATATGTGGCAGTAAAACATGTTGAGCGGTTTGATCGACAGCATACAGAGTGACACCAAACCAATCATTACATTATTGTGATTTAAAATAGTACACACTATTTTTTTTCTGGACTTTGCATTTACATAAGTGGCAGTTTGATGTGGAGTCCCAACATTTCTGGCTGAACCAACAATGAAAGTAAAGCTAGAAAACGGGCGCAGATACAGAACGGACACACATGTATACGCGAGGGACATGAATGTACGGACACGGATGGACCGGCGGGCTCTTACTTTTGAAGAGGCCGGGGACCAGCTTGTACACAATGTCCTGTAGAGTTTTGTCAGACCTAGAGAGAGGAAGAGGCCCTTCAGTCAACTCATTGAGAAACTAGAACCCTCAACGTTGAAACCAGAAACAAAACCTGACAAAGATGGTGAAATTATTCTAGTCTTATTATTAAGATTATGGTCAAAGACAAATACAGCATTTCATGTTCCTCTGATGTACATACATTTTCAATTGTTGCATGTGACACATATAACAGCCATATAGTGGTGTTCGAGGCGAATAAATCTCATTATATATATGTGGGATTTTTCTTGTATATATTATATAAGTGTGTGTGAAGAAAGAAACAACAGAAGTATTGTCGTAGCTGCCAAATAATACACTATACGTAAAAGTAAAATAAAATTATATAGGAAGAACATTTACAGAAGTTTCCCGAATTCAACCCCCTGTGTGGGCACAGAAGACCCCTTAATTGCGTCACCTGCAAAACTCCTATATCTAAAAAAATATATGAAAAATAAATCTATATTCAAAAACAATAAACGCAAACTGAGGGAAAAAAATTAGAAAGAGGAAACAATATCTGAAGAATCACAGTTCTCACCTAATGTTGAGCAAAGGCTTCGTTTTATGCACTTGCACATCACAGATGGGACAGTATTTGCTGGCTTCCAGGTAGCGCACGATGCACATCTTGCAAACTACAAACAGAACAAAAAGAGACGGCCAATATAATTTCATCTGAAAGGACCCGGTGAATCCACATCTGTTTCAAGACTAGTTGAGCGGATTCTCCTGCAGCAGGAACACTTGGACAGTGGACAGAAGGACCAGGAAGGCTAGAACTTGCTGCCACGCATTCTCCTCAGCGTGCACACCCCGTGATTACACGTCCGGCCCGCAACGTCTACTTACACGAGTGAAGGCATTCGATGATGGTCGTTGCGTCTATGAAATACCCTCCGCACAGGACGCACATGAGATGCGGATTGAGCTCGGTAATCTTTATCCTTGTCGTCCGATGCATGTTGAGAGCGGGGAGATCAACAATCCTGCCCGGAAAATAAAGACATAAAACGTCAAGACAACGCATGCACCGCCACAGAGGAGGCATCAGAGGGCTGCAGCTTTCATTTACGACGTAACGCGCACCATTTAGGGGGGAGGCGCTGCTGTTTGTTTGACTGTGTTAAGGAAACATCATCTTTTATGCTAATCAAATAACAACCAAAGCAGGCAGGAGCTCGGTGGCAGATTGATGGGCAGCTGCAGCAGCAGCAGCGCCACGGAGTCACCTGACCGAGGCGCAGTGAAGAACCATAAATCAATCGCTTGGAGATCGATGCAGCCCATGCGCGCGCCTCTCCATCGCTTCATCTTAAATCAACACGGTGTCCAACAAATGGTAAACTTGCAGTGCAGGCGGGACCCCCCCGCGGGTGTTAAATCAGAAGGTTTCAAAACAACAGAACCGAGTACAGCTCGTAGGTGTCAAACCAATTGGACCAATATGAACCATTACAAGTCGGTGGAAATAATAACGTGTCCCTAATAAATCCCACGTACACGCGTCGTGGCCACGCCGCCCTGTGACAGAACCGTCACCCCGGATTGACAATTTCAGGCGGATAAAAACAACAGCAGGTACGTGGATCTGTGGCGGCGCGCGGGGTGGGAGAGGTGGGGTCGTTCGGGGGCAGATCGCGTACACTACGTCAGGTGTGCCACACGGGCTGCCGGGGTGGTGGAGGTTGTGGGGGAGAGGTGGGGGGGTGCGGTGGAGGTGGAGGCTGGGCGTTTCTATGGCAACCCCCTTTTGCTTTTTCAGCCCACATGGCAGATCGCCACGTTACCAGAACACGAACAGCACCGCGATGATCCGCCGGCGTGCGGAGCGGGGCCGCGGAGGAGAGGGGCGACCGGAGGGTTCTTCCGAGCGCCTCGGCGCACGCAGGCAGCGGCTGGACTGCCAGGCTGCCGACTGCGCGGCTGCCATTTTGTGGAGGAAAAAAAAAAAAAAAAAAGCAAAGCCCGTATCGGTTCAACGGGCTGCGGGGTTTCCTTTCATAAAAAGGGGGGGGGGGGGGCGAATAGGAGCAACACCCGACGCGTTTACACCGGATCCGCTGAGAAGGACCAGCTACTTGTGTCCAACCCGGGGGGGGAAGAGATCTCCGCTCTATTGTGGCGTTGCGCCGTGTTTTTTTGCGGCACCGACGCGGGCGGACAGACGGCGGCGGCCGAAGTTGAAGCGCACCGGGTCACGCTTGTTCATTCTGCGCCGTGTTTCGACCCGCAGCCGGTTCATCAGACGGCAGCACCGCTTAGACTTGGTTATGCACCCCCCCCTACGTGCCAAAACCACCGCAGTTGTCCCATTTATTCGGTATGTGGAGTGTTTATAAGCCAAAGGGGACACGTAGGCTCATCCTGGAGGCATACGGTCCATTTCCTTCAGATGAATAAAATGTATACTCGCTCCGCTTGCGGTCTTTCTGAGGATTTACAGCGGTCGTTAACTGAACGCAACCTGGCTGGGCACGATACGGTCACTGGGTGACAGCCAGCCCGTACCAGCTTTTTAACCCTCGGTTGCTGTAGGGAGTCCCGGTCCGACCCGACCTGCGCCGAACAGACCCACGGTGCACAAGTTTGGACCGTCTGGATAATGTTGGATAATGTCTCCAGATATGCAGTGGAGAGCCTGTTGCGTCCTTAATCGATTGGCTGGTGTTTGGACGACAGCTCCTGTCCTGCGGGACCCGCATGCTCACTTTATAAGGACCTCGGATCCACGCCTCCATAATTGCCAATGTGAAAATTACTTTTATGAAGGAACGAATGCTCCTCAATGGATGCACCAACCAACCAATACAGCAGTGCAATGCGATGTCTGTTAAAGAAGCGCTGACTGTACAGCCTCAATGGCGCATGTACTGATGCATTATGGGTTTGGTGTTGATAGCGTGCACATTAGCCATTAATTCACAACTGAATCTTTAATTGGTTCAAGAAGGCGAAAAACAAATGAGGAGATTGCCTCTGGGTTCTTGCGATGACCCAAACCTCGGGTTGGCTTTTTTTTTTTTTCAAACGAGAGCAGTTTCTTTTGTGAAGGTTCCACTTCCACTTAAATCAACAGCAGCTGGACATAACCCAATTAAAACCGGCCAACTATGCGCTGCCAGTCATTTCAGAAAATCCTAAAAAATAAAAGATACCTAATTGACCACATGACTGAAACGTATTTAACTCCAGAGAAACCAGGTTAAGTTTGGTTGGTTTAATGTTCACATCGTAAAGTCAACCAGCCAATCAGTCAAACGTTGTAACATCTACTCAGACTTGTGAGGCTTGGAACCTGCAAACCCGGAGAGGTAAATATATATGAACGCTAACGCTGTACGCACACACAGGCTGCCCAAGAGCCTTCATGAGGAAAATGGGGCAAAAGCCCTGGCTCAGGTCATCCTATCCAGGGGCACCAGATTCAGTCAAAGGGCACCGCTTTTAGCCGAATAGGAAGGTGGGTATGTGGAAAATTAGCTTACATGTCACCAGCCAAACAAACATATGCTATGCTCGCCATTGCATGTGAAATATAGTCAAAATACCGATGACACAACGAGCCTTTTGTATCCTGGTCGGTGCGTCGGCTACTTTGTTTTGAATTTCTAGAAAACCCCAGCAGCATTTTAAACTATGACAACCATGCATCAAGACATAAAGAGCGCACAGCGCATGATTAACGATGATCCAGCGTTTACGAAGCAGCAGTCATTGAAATATTTACGCGCAGAGGAAAGGGTTTGCCTCCATATCCCGTGTATGGGATCTGTCCAAGTTAAGTTAATAAATTCAACAATGAGCCACATACAACCAAAAACTACACGGCAGCCTATTAACAACAACCCAGACACCCGGACTCTATAAAATGAAGACGCTGTATGGAACTGTGTTCGCGGAAGGAGCGTTTGGAGCACTTGCTGCCGTTAACATCTCAGCCAACGCAGCCCGCTTCGCCCGAGATCTCCCACTTCGCATAAATCCAAAGGACGCGTTGCGAACCTCAGCCGCGATCAACTTATACGGACGCGTCGCTCACTAGTTCACAAAGCGACACCCGCGGAGTGCGAATCTTAATTCGCGTTCGTGGCGGAGCTGGGAACGTGTTTTAGCCGCCCCCAAAAAAAGAAAAAGTGGTGCGCACACACACACACACACACACACAGCTCCACGTCGGTGATCGCTGCAGCCGTGGAAAGCTCCACATCCACCGCTGGATCGGTGGGTATAAAAACCCCACAAAGGCGCCGCCGCAAACCTCCACGCGTGCGCCCGTCATTTAGAGACGACATCGAAGGAGACGTACCTGGACGCTGAGCCGGGGAGTCGGCGGGTCTCGACGCGGATAGACAATGAAAGTTGGGCAGGCGATCAGCAGAAAATGAATAGGAGCCGAGCCGCCATCTTGAAGCAGGCTGCAGACGCTGTCAGTGGCGGAGAGGCGCACGGCGCACCGGAGCGCAATTTCAGATGTGCGAATAAAACTCCTCTTCTCGTCGCCGCCCTGCGCGCCGCCGGCGTGTCCGATCCGCGGCTTCGTAGGAGGGGTGTGGGGGGACCGGCACTCCCGGTTCGGCTGTGGCGGACTCGCGCTTCGGCACCGATAACTTTGCCTCCAAAATAACCGCTTCACCCCGAGTGAAAAATGCAGCAGTGTGTGTGTGTGTGTGTGTGTGTGAGAGAGAGTGTGTGTGTATGTGTGTGTGTGCGCTCTGGTGAAACTAACACCGTCCCTAAAATGGCTTGTAGTTCGACCGCCCCGCTTTGGTCACGTGGTCTAGTTGCTTAAGGGCGCCTTGGAATTACTGTCGGTGTACGCCGCCTCCCCCGATCTGCTGCGCGAGATGTTCGCCCCAAATCACCCGCATGTGGATATTTTATTTTAATATACTCCCGAACACAAAGGAGAAGGTTTGTGCTTTACTTGCGCTGAAAAGACAACAGCCATCTGCTTATTTGGGGAGGGGAGGGGAGTGGGGGGGGCACCGAAAAATCCAGTGTTGGTTGTCTAATGTCGAGCGTGACGCATTATTAAAAAAATACATAATACACAATTATACAATTTGATACACTTTTGCATCACGCGTATATCCTACCTGCGCTCACGTGGAACTACCCGGGACGTCGATAAGTAAGGCTGATGGTGGTGACGCTCCTTGAGGTTTAAAAATAACCGCTGCACGCGCGCTCACGCACGGTCGGTGTGGTTTTGGACCAATCGGAAGTCCTTGGATCCGTTCCGCGGGACGCGGTGTCTATGATGCGGGGCCGGCCGCCTCATTCGTGTCCGTTCGCGGTCGCGCAAAAAATGTTCCAGGGTTTAAAACGCACGTCCATGTGACAAATGACTCCGGCGTCAGACCTTTGGTCACCGGCTGCCCGGACGTCTGCACGCACACACACACACACACACAAAAACACAAAACTATGCTTCCACTTCAACTTCCACTTGATGAATTGGAGCCTTTATCTTTCAGCCAGCAGGAGAAAAAAGGAATGAAGACATCTCCGATGTTTACGAAACCCGAGCTGCCGCGGGGCTCCGGCTGAGGAGCTTTGAAGGTTCGGCTGGGTGGCGGATGCTGCAAGTCTCAAACGGGAGCGAAAATTCACAAAAAAACATTCAGCTGATTTGTTTTTTCAGTCCGATGACGTGAAACGAAATAGTGCGGTGTTGAAACAATGGCATACGTGCTCTTCGGGGTTGTCAAAACACATGTCAGTTACTTTATTGGCTCCACACCAAACTAAATGTTTAAAGTCTCCATGACACACAAGGGTACCATCTCAAGACCAAAGGGTGATTTCTAAAGGCAGTGACACGTGGAGCGGTGATCAAGTTGTGGATATTATTATTCAGAGCACAAGGTAAGATTGTATTCCTTCAGTTTTAATTGAAACACACGTTGGAATGATACTCGTTTATAGTGTTTTACATCTCATGTCAACCTCCGGTACAAAGGGAGCTGTGAGGAGAAGGAGAATGGCGCTGGGAACTGTTGAGAGTTCACGCTCCGTGGTGCCGAAAGGAGGAGGAAACTGGACCCATCACATCTGACTGGCTTTCTCCACACTCTTGGCTGCGTCTTTGAGCTTTCCCACCAAATCCTTAAAAAAAACAACAACCATGGCTCATTTTCAAACGCTGAAATAGCAATAAAAAAAAAAACACCAATACACATTGTGAACAAGAATAAATATTTACGTTCCGACTGTCTTTTATTATGTCTCCCTGGACACTGAAGAACAGAAGATTCAACCAAGAGTTTTACATCGGGAATCTGACAGCATGCCCAGTGCGATTTCCATCACATAAACAGAAAGCATCATGCTGGAACTTAATAGGTTACAGGTTCCATGTTTTTTGCCGCATGTATATGCAGCATCGTCATCAATGCACCGGTTTCAGGGCCATTTAGCCTAACAGGTAAAACGCGCATATAACGATACGCACAGCGTTTCTATGAGCAAACCAGGAAATCCTTCCTCTACCTGTAGCTGTTCCACTGTGCAGGTGAAGTTGATATCATCCGAAGATCTTTCTTTCTAATTGAAAAGGAACAAACGGCATCGTTGTTTTACGCAAAGAAACAAAACAATCCAATCGAGGCATGGATGCGTATCAGAGGCTTACCTCAGTGTTCAATGAAATCAAGTAGAAAGGCTCGTTGATCTTATCGACCTGATCGTTCTGTTTTGGGAAACAATATTTAGGTTTTGGTGCAAGAAATGCAAACAAAAAGCCAAAAAATGTTCTCCGAAGCCTGTAATACCTTCACGTGGTATTGTAGACACCACGACGCGTCGTGGATGTGAGGTGGACACCTTCCTATGCTAGAGGAGGGGGACAGACAGAGACAGAGCATCTCTCAATAAAGCTGAATGTCAGGAGCATGTTGCCCGGAGCACAGAAAGCCCCTTTTGACTTTATTTACAGCTGTACGTGTCATAGTCACAGATCAAAAGAAGTTCCCTGTTTTAAAAAGGTACGATTTCTTTTTCGTAACCGTTTAAAAATCAGTTTGCAGACACTGTGTCGTTTTCACAAAGAGCTTTTGTTTTATTGCGCGTCATAAAGCAGCATTTACATTGTAATTAATCACACCCATGTCCGTTCTACACTTTCTACAACTTGTTAAGATCACTCCTCCTTTTCAGTAAGACCAAGTCTACAAAGTTGAGTGGAAACTCTTTTTTTTTAATTGATCCGCACGCATTTCGTGTAAATAATGCTCACGTGAGAGTCGGAAACACGGTGACATTCAGTCAGTGATCATCAGATAACTTCCACACATAACCGCAGCTAAAGTTGCGCAGGGTCAATTAGTCCGCTTTAAAAGACGTCATATTAAATCTTGGCGATCAGGTTGGATTAAGAAAGTAAACAAAGACCACAAAGACCTCTCTTCGCGGGGTTCAGCATGTTCACACTTACCTTGCTAAGAGACGTTCCACTTCTTTTCTATGTTCCTGTAAATCAAAATCATGGATTTTATGGGCAATTAAGCAACAGCCACCAGACTAAATGAAAAAGATAAAGATTTTATAAGTGTGATATTGTTAGAACTGTCACCTGATGTGTGCTATAGAATATTTCTATTCTGTCCGCACTGAATGAGAGTTCTTCAAGACAGGAGCTGCAGAAAAAAGACGAATCAGATTTTAATAAAAATATTTTTGACATTTTAACAAGATTCCATTTTAAATTGCAACATATATTTTTTCCATTCCACCGAGAAAAAAAAAACTTCTGTGCCACTTCATTTTCATGCAGATCAATCATTGTTGATGTCCATGAAATTGTAGTTTCAGAGAAATACAAAACAACCTGAGAGCTGTTTTTTAAGTGAAGTCAAAAACAAAACTAAAAGGATCAAAGAAACTCTTTGATAGAAGTCTAAATTAATAGTTGGCTTTATATCCGCTTGTTATTCGTATACATGAGCTTGAGTGATCTGATCACCCAACTTCTATCATCAAAATATAGACTTCCCTTCTTTGACTAAAGAACAAAACGTTAAGGCGGTGAGATGGACAATCGTGAGGGACTCCATTTTAATAATGTAAAGACCAAATAGCAAACGGGAGTCACAGTACTTATTATTTTAGGCAACTTGCGGGTGATTTCCAGGTTTTTTGCTGTTCTATTTCCCCCAAAAAACAAACCAGTATGTCGTTCCTGCTTGTAGGAATTCCCACTGCCTGTTCACCAGCACATTATTGGGAAATACCAAATTGTTCACATGTTTCATTAATAACTGACGCATGGTCTTGGGAGATTTAATCAGCGGTTTGCAGTAGAGACCAAAACAACATGCATAAGCATATTTCCTGTCCCACAGGATGACACGAACACAAACTGCACGGCCGCTACACAGCGCATTCTTTACCTTATCGTTGACTTATCCGCGTTTTGTTTGACCGCCTCCAGTATGAAGGTGGTCGCTGCAGTGTGACTCTGCTTGAGCAGGATCTGGTCGATCTGCTTCAGCTCGGGCTGGTCTGTGCCAACACAAACAAACGGTATGAGGATGCACCTCCTGCAGGTAAAGCCGTGTGGCTCGCAGCCTTTATTCTCTAGACGCATTTAATTGGTATAATTGATGCAGGCTAGATCTGCGATCCGCACTTGTGCGCTCCAGATTGACGTATAGAATGGAAATCAATGAGAATTTGCATGTCAATGGGCCCCTCAGCTGCATCAGCCAGGGGTCCTTTGTTTGTTTGTGAACATTTCACTTTCTCTGCTGCCATTTTAGAGTCGGAATGCTGCAGGAGTTGGCCAACACATGGTTTGTATGATCGAACCAGCCATGACAAGGTAGCATAGGATAGCATACTGCACGGAAATGTAACCAAGTATTTCTTGCAATATTTTATTGACCCTATTCCAAGTCCAAATTAGCACCACAAGGAGCGCTGCTGGTGTCAAAGATCTGCAATGGTCGGTTTTAGAGAACAATCGAAAGTGTCTCCGCGATCGGTTGCGACTACTAGTGATTGAAGTAGTCGAACGCATCCTTTCTGATATGCCGAGTCGACTTGAAGCCGGTTTAAATGACAAAAGGCGCCCGAAGCGGCCGTGCATGTCGCGGCGGGTGCGCTGCCGAATGCGAAACAAGACCGCTTCATGCCGACGGGCTGCGTGCTGCTGGACCTCTTCCCCCCTTTTTACAGATCCACGCGTAAACACGGTGCGATCCGCTTTAGGGGCGACTCGCAGCACGCAACCGGGCGAGCGTAGAAATCCGTAAAAATCGAGGCAGCTCTAACGCATATCTCCCCACGGGGAGGAACCGGAAGGAGCTACGGAGACAAAAAGCGGGGATCGGCTCACCGAGGACACTGGGATCGGCTTGAGAGGAGAGCAGGCTGCGGAAGGACACGTCCACCAGCACCTGGTAGCTCCTCCGGTCGAACGAGGACGGATCGGCTAGAGATTGCAGCCCCCTCTGCACAGACTCCGACAACTCCATTTTGCAAAAAGGGTCAGCAGCTACAGCAGACCACGTGACGGATCAGCTGATGCAGCGCGCCGCGCTGCACAGGGCTGAGATGAGGAGCTCGGGGCTGGCGAACGTGGAGAAATCCCCCCCGGGTTGACAAGTATAGATGGGCAACCCCTCCCTCCCTCCACCCCCCACACGGCAAGGGGAGAGGGGGTGGTTTTCCTCCTGCGCACCGGAGAACGAAGTATATTTGCATATATAAATATATATACATATGAACATCCGGGTCAAACTGAATTGAGACAGTTAGTAAATTGTGACCAGACTTTATGGACTTCATGATCCGCTTGAGTGAAGACATCGTCAGAGTTTTCCGCCTGAATTTCAAGCACGTTCTCTGCAGGACGACTACGGTCACACAAATAGAAGGCTGCTTCCGTTTAAACCAGCATACACCAAACTAGCCTCTTTCTGAGACATTCGAAATGTCGATTGCGCTACAGGATGCACGACATGAAACAGCTTTTAAAACCTTAATCGGACGTGTGAGACGCACATCCGATATATATGCAGTGGTCTTGCTTGCATAGGGGCTTCCCTGTCAGTCTTGACGCAGTCATCGGGTGCAGAGTGGGTCACTTGTCATGGAGAACGCATCATCTGTCATATGACAGTGGCGTCCGCAAATGAAGGAAACTCCCTAAAAACCGCATTATTAACTGTTATGCGTGCTATTTCTTCACTGTGTTGCTGAATTCACCCAAACTCTGAGAAACATCCGTCATGTAGGTTATCAGGCGGAACACTTGCGGGCTTGGGAAAGAAAAAACATGAAGCGCACTTTAATAAGAGAAAGCTTTGAGGCAAATGTTCCATGATGTTTATTTGCTTTCTTCCATTTTTACATTGCGACTCTTCAGTGCGCGACTCCTCACAGCCTCCGCGCTGCGTGACGGGTTTCTACGCGGCGGCCACACGCACGTCGCAGCTATCGGATTGACCTCTGACTTTGTCCAAAGTCCAGTTCCTGCGCCTGGAGGTCGCGTTGTGAAATAGAGTAGCCTTTTTATTCTCCGCCATGTGTATCTCCTCGGGACGTGCACCCCTCTGTCACCGCGTCTTTGCATTCTGAAGTCTCCTTATTAACGCCACATATTTGAACCCTCGGACGTTCTTTGCGTCCCCTCGCCTCACGCCAAAAATGATTGTCGACACAATTGTCTCTCATTCACGCATTGTGGACTGTAACGGTCATATATGCTTCCGTGTATTTCATAAACATATGTGTTTACAGATGCAGCGTCTTAATGATTCCTTCAAAATAAAAGTCTGTCTCCTCAAATCGAATAACTGAGAACGTCAAATAACAATATTTCCCCTTCAGCCTCATTTGTTTACGTATAACTGCATTGTTGAACATGAGTCGTTTCTTTTGCATGTGTTTTTTCTGTGAATATTTAGGCCTAAATATTTAAGTGCACCAGTCCAACGAAAACATTTTACATGTTGTCAGAACGAAAAACAAGGCGGTGGATCTTAAACCCTCTTTGACACGTGTTGAGGAAGCCATGTTATCTTTTTTAAGTCTTTAAATACTATGTTGTATGTTGCAACATTAATTATTGTGAGATTCACGATTTACTCAAACATTATAACGTATCTGTGTCCTCTTTAAGTCAATATGGAAGCTATCGCAGCTGACTGCGGTGTAATGTTTATGCAAACTCACAATGAAGCAACACTCAAGTGGATGCACTGATTTTTTACAATTAAAGACTTTTGCAGAAGCAAACTTTTTTTTAAGTTGTGGGAAAATAAAGTTTATTCAAGCGATTCATATAATGTGATCTTTATAGGTCAAAAACAATGAATAACCTTTGCTGAAGACTATATGCCTGTATTGTTTGAATAATGTTTCATGCAAAATAAAAAAATACACGCAGATCTGCGTCTCCAATATAAACTTGTTTGTGTTATTTTATTCTGCTTTTCCGTTTTGTTGTTGATGCTTAGTCGGCTAAAGGTCAATACAGTTGAATGTTCACTGTTTGCGAACAGTGCGTTGTTATTTGTATCGCTGACGGTCTCTGCATCCTAACAATGACACACTGTAAACATCCCCTTTAAGGAGACTGCTGTAACGTGACCTTGGACAAATGTGCGGGTAACGCATTTAACAACTTTAGTAAATGATGTGGGAGCATGTGGACTTTCATTTAGACTCTTAGGGCTACTTGGCCGATGCATAAACATAATGGCTCGACCAGGTTGATAATCCAAGATGACAAATATTTCCCCAAATCCAAACCGTCTTTTGATCTCTCCATATTTTCATCTCTCCAAAGAAATAGCAAATACCCGTCTGAGAAGTAGACGTCAGATCTCTGCATGGAAGGAGGATTTTTTTTTTTTAAATAAATTGCAGTTATGGCCCACGTTGTTCATTATGAGCTGTACTTGAACTCGCTGTGGTGGGTCTGCATTGTGAATAGCACGTTCAGGACCATCGAGGAGGTGACCGGCCTCAATGCCGCGAGACGCTGCACATCATCTCCACCGTTCAGGAGAGGTTGCAGATGGGCGTGAGTGACCCTCTCCGCGGAGATCCACCTTGTCGTGCTCCATAGAAAGATGGCTACAGTAAACCCGCCACCGAGTTTCGGATTGCTGACAACAGCAAAAAAAAAGAAAGCTGTCCAGCACGCAACCCACGAGTTCCAATAACCCCTCGTCACGATCACGTGAGTGAGGCGCCGGTGACGTGACGTGTTCTCTTGTTAACGTGCCTTTCAGAAGTTCAACGCGCAGCTCCTTGGCCCATCTGGCTGCTATTATCCGCAGTGCGCAATGGTGACAACAAAAAGGGGCGTGAGTGAGTTCATTCATTGTCGAAAAGGCTGAATTTTTCTGATGGAACTTCTGAATCACTTGATCCGCACCGCGTTGTACCTTTAGCATCCAGTCTCCTTGACTCTGCCGTGAAAAACACAAGAAGAGAGCACGGACGGTATAATCGCTCGTTTGTAAATATTGTGTATTTTTGATTATATTAACGATAAAATAAACATTTTACCCACATGTTTTCAGATACATTCAATATGTGTCAACCATGCGTTGGGAGCTGGAATATGTTGTCGTAAAACATGATGCAACCAATGTATCCTTGTCCAGTGGTTCAAATAATGACTTTTGTAACTTACAGGTTACAAAAAGGGAGAATTTGTTTTGGATTGCCTTGACCTGCAGATCTCTCTTGACTTTCAACGTGCAAAGAAACCATTTATAAAGCTGAGAAAAATAATGGTGATGTAGCAATATATTACCTATTTGCCCTGTTGCATTATTTTATTCAGTTATACGCTCTATACCCCCAATGTTTTACTTTATTTAAAACATAATTAAGCAAATACAATGAAAGCAGCAGCTCCTGGCCCCGGAGCTCAATGTAACAGCGAGGCCCCCAGGAGAAGAACACAGGCTCAATTCACAGTGATTCTTATCTTGTTATTATTTCAAAACGTTAAACTCACAGTAACCCGAGAGCTTAACTTCATTTGAGCTCACAGGAGGAAAGAAAACTTGAATTTCACCAGAATCAAGGCTGCTTCGCCGTCTAAGCACGTTTGGAAAGTTGTTATTGCCAGAAACCTGCACCTTCATTTAATAAAAAGCCGCGTAGAAACCATGGAACTCCTCTCGCCCATATTGAGTGGTTACTTCTTAGACAAACAAACACACACGCTCGGCTCCGAGTTGTATGAGGCTATTTAAAGGTAATTTTTAAGGCAGCTGGTGGCGGAAATTGCTCGCAGAGAGAGAGAAAAAAAGACCCTTAAACAGTTCCTGTGTGCATATACGTCAAGTGCGTGAGCGCGTGCATGCGCATGTGTGTACGTGATAAACGTGAGCCTTTTGCAGAGTGATTCTGCCCCCTGTTGGAAGAAAAAAAATAACTTACCACACCCCCCACCCTCGTATGCACTGCCTGCTGCTGTTACGTTTAAATGATTTATTGCCTTAACCAACATTGATCAGCATTTTTCCTGATCATGTTGTTTCTTTTTTGTAAGATTACCCCTTTCTTGACTTCCCAAATCACAAATTATGAAACCATACTAAATGAATAAATAAGAGTGAACCCATTTGCATCTACAGGCAGGGAGGAATTCAACGTGCAACAATATGATTGATTAATATTGCGTAACAGATGATGCCCTGCAGAAAAAAAACAGGGTCATATAGAATTCGTAATTAACGTTTCCTGGTAATGGTACCTCATTATTTAGGTTATATGCAGCTAATTAAATTATTGTCCAGCAGAGCCTATATTCTGGTCTTTATAGAATCATTTTGATGTGTAATCCATCAGACATGTTGACGAAACGGAGTAGGAAAGACACAACTCTCGGATGGCAGCATGTTAATCTCAGGGGGGCACTTGGCAGCCCGGTGCGTGGCTGTAGGTGCGGCGGCTTTTGTCGATATCCACTGATGGAAATTTGCGCAGGAGGTCGCGATAATAACAAAGAGCAAGCGCGCAAGGTGACGCGCGCCCGCGCTGGCCGCTAGGTGGCAGTGGTGGGGTTTCTCTCTCTCTCTCTCTCTTTCTGTCCTGTGGGGGGGGGGGGGGTCGCAGAGGGAATCACCGGAGGGGAACAAAGAGAGAAGGAATAGAGAGGGGTACGTGCGTGCGTGTGTGTGTATGTGCGTGCGTGTTTGAAAAAGAGAAAACGGGGGGGGGGGGTTCTCCCTTGTGACAGGACATATATGGAAATTTGAATGGCGCACATTCACCTCTGATTCACCAGCCAACACCAGCGCCCCCCATTAGGAGCTGGACCGCGCCGAGGCAGCGTCACGGCTTAAAAGGCAGACGAGCTGAGAAGTGGGAGATGGATGGAGCCTATAGGTGATTCGGGAATGTGCATCCACATCTCTCTCTCTCTCTCTCTCCCCCTCTCTCTCGCGTGCGCGCGCGCACACACACTCATGCGCACACTGACAATAAAAGCTTTTTGGGGTTCGACGTGATCGTAATTACAGTCTTTTAAGCCGGGCTATCACAGTAACAATATGGCAGACCAATGTGTGTCGGAGGGGATATTAAATGTAAATATCACCAGACGTAAAGTTCAAAAAGAGGGCTCGTAGTCTCCCACTTGCCACTCTCCTTGTCTCATTACTGAAATTGCTCATTTGAAAAATATACATGTGAAAAATGAAGAACCTGGAGATAATATTAATAAAGAAACACACCTTAGAACTATGTTTAAAATCACTAAAATTAAATAAAAAAATAGTCGCGCGACTAAATATTTAGTGCCACATATAAATCAAATATGGATAATTCAGTTACTCTAATATACTTTTATTTTTAAATTGTTATCGTCAAAAACAATTCTGACAGAAATGGCTATTCAGCCGCTTTTCGGGTGATTTTTTAAAACATATGTACATATGCCATTGTGGGAGCAACCATTATGCCACAATTGTTAGATAGAAAACAGAATAGTTACTATCGTATTTGAATATTTGCATTATTATTATAAATATGAACAACGGTATATTTCTTTTTCTGGTACGTAAAGAGGTGTTTCCCCTCCCCGCAGGAGCAGCTGTTCCTCGCGTCGCCTGCCGGTGAAAAGCAGCTCCCTGCCGGCTGCAGGAGCAGCAGCAGCCGGCAGGGAGCTTCCCGCGTGTCCCGCTCGGCTCGGCTCGGCTCGGCAACCAAGCACGACCGGGGAATTACTTACACCCCGAGAAGGTGTTTAGCAACTACATGGAACGTATTCGCAGCGTGTAAAATAATTAGACACGAATGTCGTTCGCCCCGCGTAGCGGCTCCTCGCGAGGGACCCGCCATGTTCACCCGCACGGCGAGCAGCGTGGCTCGTTTGAACTTTAACACAATTGGAAGCAGCGCGTGAGAACCATTATTATTTTTTAGTGTGTTTACGTTCTGGTAGGTTTATGACCCGAAACAAGCCGATGCAGAATAACAACTCTCACACAACATTCTAAAAACTAACAAAGTTAATCACCGCCCAACACTAGTTTCTGGTTTGTTCTCCTTAAGATGAGCCAATTTCTTCTTCTTTTTAAATTTTTTTTACAAGGATTTGTTGTTGTTGGATGGTTTATTCACAATCCAGCCCGCTGAGGGCTCGTTTTAGCCCGTCCTCATTTTAAAGCCTCAATCAAAGGCAGAGGTCTGGATCAAAGTGAGTTAAGTGAGTAATTGAACTTTGTGGTTGCAAAGGTTACAGTCTGCGTTGACGCGTTGCCAGAAAAATCTGCGGGGCTCCTGCTCGCTCCTCAGCTCCCACAGGTTAACTCACTCTCTCTCTCTCTCTCTCTCTCTCTCTCTCTCTCTCTCTCTCCAGTGAAGTTTGCAGGAGGTGTTGAGGAGAGGAGCGCTGGTAAATCCTGGCCAGGGAGAGACGGCTGTGCAAGGCTTCATATCACATCACAGATCCAGCAATAACATTCATGAATATTCCTCCTTTTCACCATTCCTTGTCGATCCCTCACAAGGTCACGGTTGGCCATCTGTGCTGCGTCCAGGCTTTGAAGCCCGCCAGCGAAATTGTTACAGCAGCAAATAGAATTGTTTTTCTTTCAACACAGAAATGCAGATTTTTAATGTCAAGGCCAGTTTGATATATTTGCAGCAGACAAGTCTAAAGGACAGCGGAGCATAAAAGGATTGTTGAGATTACGAGTTTGACGTTGGAATCTTTAAAATGTTTTATGGTGCTTCAAAATAGCGCTCTGTAGACTCCTCGTCTTTTTCTGGCATGCTGTGAGAGATGTGAAAGAAGTCTGTATTTCTGAAGGCTATTGAGTTCTAAAAAACCTTACAAAAATTAAATAAATGGCTATTTGCTGTAAACCACATGTTCTTTTCTGCTTGGAACAATCTTAATTGTAAATACTTGATGAAAATTTTAAGAAAACATTCAGGGAGACCTACATACAAAGAAAGTTTACCGTTTCTGGTAGGAAAAGTATCAACATTTTGCTCGGTAAAAACAAAGAACTAAACTAAGTAATTAATGATGCATAATAAATGAACAATACAAAAAGACGCGTCCACTGCAGCCCTGATTAAAACACTTTACAATCAGGCAGGTTGAAGGACGGCCCTGAGGCGTCTCAGTTTCCTTGTACACGGGGTCTTAACCGAGGATCAACTTTCATGCTCGCTCTCCCAAGGATGTTTCTTTGTTCTATAAAGACCAGTCCACATCATCATCCCCCCCTCCCCCCCTCCCCCTCCTCTCTCCCTCTGTTTGACAAAGGAAAGAGATGAGGAAATGTAATTATGAGAGATTCAACATTACTTCAGAAAAGGCCATTTACACAACGTCACAAACACATCCAGAGCTTCTCACACCGTTGAACAAAAGGCAGTTAATTATGAAACTTCCTTTAAACAGTCATTCATCTATTAATGTTACAGCGTATGCGTGATTATAATAATACAACATTTACTCTTCTGTTGCTCCGCCTTCCCCTTTTACTCCAGTGTTTAGTTAATTGAAGATGGTAACGTCAAGTGTAAGCAAAGATTAACTGTTTGGTGATGCAAAATGTAGCTGATGTGTGCAGAATTGTGCTCTCGGCTTGTGTGGAATGAATGCAATGTTGGACACAAAAGGAGCACAGCAGAAAGAAAAGTGGCAATCTCCACCTGACTCAGAGCCCATTATAGGGTGAGAGAGGAGACAGAGATGGGTGTGTGGGTGGGGGGTGGCTGTGGGTGTTGGGGGGGGCACCCAAAGGTGTAATAAAGCACACGCATCCATCCACTGTCGTGATCAGCAGCCATTACCAACATGAGCTGGGTGCCAATCAGACTCAATTATTCTGCAGTCAATCGACAAGCAGACAGTTGACCAATGACTGTTTCCTCCACGCGGAGCCGCACTCGGCTGCGTCTGGTTTCATTTCCTACCCTTTCTGTCACTCCCCTCATTGATTGGCTGCTGTCTTTTCAACTAGAACCTCTCCTTTATCAAATCCCACCTTTTCTTTATTTCTGTTGTTGTCTTTCCTTGCTGTTCTTCTTTTGTCCACAGCACCGCGGCTAGTCTTTTGTGCGTGTGCTCGAGCAGTGATCAAATCCGGGGTCCCTTCGGCAACAGGCGCTCTCGGTGCAGGCATGTATGTAAGTGTGGATGTGTGTATGTATGTAATTATGTACATCCGTGTGTGTGTGTGTGTGTGTGTAGTTTTTTGGGGCAGGGCTGTGCAAGCAGCAGTCTGATCCATACTAATGTTCATTGATAGGAAAATCAATGGTGCATTGATCCAAGACTTGGCTCTGAGAGAGGGGGGCGGGATGCAAGTGTGAGGCCTCGAAGAACAGCAACAGAAAGAGGGATGTACAGAGGAAGGAAGGGATTAGCTAGACGAGGATGAGTGAAGGGAAAGCATGGTGAGGAGGAAGTTCAAACCACTGCTGACAAAGATGAGACTGGAGCCTGTTTGGCTGTGGTTGAGGAGGGGGGGGTAACTATATGTGAGAACAACCTGTCGTGGGCTAACTATTCCCTTATCTGTCGCTGTCTCGCAGAACTGCTCTTGAGAGTAGATGAACGAGCCTCAAATGGAACCTGAGACACGAAAAAAGAGGAGCGGAGAGGAGAAGGGGAGGGAGAAAATCAATTTTCTCAGACAGAGGCAGGCTAGTCTAATGGAGGTCTAAAAGAAGAGGAGGAGGAGAGGACATATTTTCCTCTGATTACCTCCTGCAGCCTCCCTGCAAACCTTGAAAGCTATGATCGCTGCAGCGGCCACGCTCATCCGACCTTTTGCAGAATGTATGGAGTCTAGTCATTCGCTCGCAGTCAGGCTTCCAGGTGGACGTGACAGTACGGCAAAAAGGAAAAAAATCAGACTAACTGATAACAAGGAAATGAACCACAGTGACCTGATGGACTTTGGACTTGAGTCGTATCGCCACAATTATGCAAAATAGTTTATTTTTCTCTTCCTCCCTTTCAAGCCACATTTGAACAAATGCCTTCTTCTCCTTTTCTCTCTATGAGGCTCTTTGTAGAGGTTTGTTAACCTGTTGTTACATCCCTGAAAGAGAAAATGAACCGTAATAAACGGATAAAGGTTTCCATTTGGCTGAGAGTAATAACTTATAAAGTATAAAGGAAGGGAATTTGTCATTAGTGTCCCTGGCAAAGGAATAGAGATATCTAAAGTACTCCTGCGCTGTGAGTGTCTGCTCCAATGGCCTCCCTGATGTCATAAGACCAGGCTGCTATGTTCCATTTCCTCCTACAGGCTTGATTATTACAAATAGGTGAGTGTATTGGACATTCAATGCCATATGCAGAAAAAGCAGGCAATTATTTGTCCCAGTTTTACCGGAGGGAATCCTAAATTTTGCTTATGCCCCCCCCCCCCCTGAAGTGAAACGCATGTGCTAGGATAAAACAAATTTCCCCGGGAATGATCAAACTGCAAATAGCAAAACATTGAAGCCCCAAAAATGTCCCATGAAGTGGATGTAAGACTGCCTCAATTAACAAGCAATTTGTAAAAGTAAAGCTGCTGCCTCTCCGACAGAACTATTGCCTGAAGCCATCTGGAGCTAAAGGCTGTGACCTCCGATGGAACCAGAGAAGAAAAAAAAAAAAGAGGGCCAAAACAGGGACAGATGTAGCTCCCAAACCTCAAAACTCCCCCAAAACAGCCACTGTACGTCTGCTTAGCTCACTGATGTGCTCATTAAACCCGTGAATGTTCAGCCCGCTATTAAACAACGTTTCAATTAACTCTTTCCTTTTTCTTTGCATCTCTGTACCAAATTGTGTTTCTATTCCTGGGGACGGAAACACGGTAAAAAAAAAAAAAAAATGATCCGGACGCTTTGAAAGGCTGTTAACTGGAGCTGGAGGAGAGCTTGTAACACTCGGCCTGTCTGTTACTGTTTTTCTGTCAATCCCTCCCCGTCTTGTCGGCTCTTTGTGTTTTCCTGTCTCTCTCGGCCTGTGAGGTGAAAGTGGCTTCCATGGTAACGGCACACTCTGTTTATGCTACGACGTCTCACTTCATCACAAGCTGTTGATGGCTTTGATTTGCATGTGCGCCCGGTGTGTGCGTGTGTGTGTGTGTGTGTGTGCGTGCGTGTGCCCCACACACACACACACACAAATATATACTCACCACCCCTCCCTATGCAATTTATCCCAAATACCCACAAAAACACACACAGACACACACACCACACACGACAGGTTAAGTCAAAGACGTCTCACATTCCTCCGTAAAATAAAGAGGAGTCAAAAAGCTAGTGTTGTTCTTTGTTGCCACCATTCTGTCTTTAAAGGAATTTTTTTCCATATTAGGATCAGGATACGGCCTCAAAATCACCGCTTCAATTAAAAAATATAACAACCATGTCAGAGCTCCCTCGACAAAAAAAGTGTTATATGGACTTTAACTTTTAGAAAATCTCCCAACAAAACTGTGAAAAGGAAATTGGCACTTTAACAGTTGAGATTAAAAAATGTAAATTTAATCATAGTCATTTCCTCCCTCTGCGAGCTGATCCCGTACACGTAACCACTGAAATTAGCAGAAGAAACAATGATTATGACTCCTTTTCACCAAAACCAGTCGTCCCCAATTAGTGGAGATGGGCTGGTGGAGGGTCGGGGATGTGGGAGGGGGTGAGAGCGGAGGTGGGGGGGAGGGTGGGGGGGGGGAGCGCCTGGCTAGCCGGACCCCCTGCAGGGCAGAAAGTAGGAAAGATGGATTCCATACCAGTACATCCATTAGGGCAGGGAGCAGCGCGGCGCCGGCAGCGCGGAGCGTGTTTTAAAAAAAAATCCTCATTAGGTGTAATTTCTAAATTACAATCAGCACGGGCAGAATGAGAAGGCGAGGATCTGACCAACTCATCGGGATAATCAGGGTAATAGCCTGATTCTGAGTGTGTGTTGGTTCAGGGAGAGACAGCGATGAAGACCAAAGAGAGCAGAGGAGGATGAAGGGTGGATTTTAAAATGCGCTTGCTGGACCCCACAACTTTAGGACGTTTTTTCTGCTTTGATTTTAAGTTGTTGGTATTATTATTATTATTGTCTCCTTTTTGGCACCCAAGTGACCGATAATTGCTGTCGGGGTTGGCCGGCTAAAGCAACAAGTTGATGCAGAGCAGGAGCCTCTGTGTCCATCAACGCCGCTATCAGCTTGATTACTGCCCTGCCCTCCGCCCGAGAACGGGGAAGACGTGGATCCATTTATGAAAGTGAAGCTGGCAACAGGGAGGAAGAGGAGGGACAGGGCCGAGGTTGCAGAGCAAAAGAAGAGAGTGGGAGTCGAGGGGCCTCCCCGAGGGAGAGAGGAGGGGAAGCGGCAGGAGGGGAGGGAGGGAGGAGAAGAGGTTAATTTGCACATTTTAGAGAGGGCAGGATTTTTCATTAAAAAGAGATTGAAGTTGATATATGCCTGTGCGCTCCTGACCCCCTGTACACTTTGATTGTGTTAAGTCCTTGACAGAACAAAGGATGCCCCCCCCCCCCCCTCCTCCACCAGCAACACCACCTCTCTCTCTCTCTCTCTCTCTCTCTCTCTTTCCATCTAACAGTCATTGCAGCCGTCTGCAGCTCAAGCAGCATTTTGCAGCTTTATGGAGCTGTTTCGTGTTTAATGGAAGCACATCCAGAGTGTCATATCACCTCAGGAGCCCCCCCTCGGTGCATATGCATACTTTTTTCACTATTCTAATTTCATGTCCACGTGAAGGTGGTTGTGTGTGTCAATCTGCGGAAAAGCTCCAGCACAACATTCGGTTCTACATCCTCGCTGCAAACGGGAAGCACGAGATGCGCCTTTTGGTGTTCGTCTATTCCCTGTGAACAAAGGAAG